CCCAGTCCCAGTGGACACATCTACAAAACACTCCCACACCTAAGGCTCAGGGAACATTGTGGAAGAGGGAACACATTGCAGAAGAGGGAACAGGAAGATTGTAAGACCCAGAGGATCAGGGACTTTGCTGTGAGATTGTGTCTCCTAGTAATGTCAGAAGCTACACCCCTAAAGTCTCACCAACATGACTGCCCAAATGTGAGCTGAACAAGGACAACACCAAGGGAAAACCCCACAGGCCTCAACCCTACACAAAGAACTATAGGCAACTGAGGAAAGCTGGAAGTAGGAGAGATGGTCTTTTCCATGGAAAAGCATAATAATTAGTTGTCTAGTGCCAAATGCTCAGCTCCTAAAAACATAAATACAGGTAGCATTATACAGACTGAGCAGGTTACATTTAGGAATATATATGTGTACATATGTGCATGCAATAACAATGAGAAGAGGCCATGAATCTGAAGGAGAATAGGGAGGGATATATGGGAGGCTTTGCAGGGAGAAAAGGAAATGGAGAAACGTCGTAAATACATTCTAAAAAAAATTAAATTAAAATCACACCATAAGTTTAGCCCATAAAAACAAAACATGAGTCAGCAGGACTTGATCTGCCACATTCTACAACAGATGGCACCTGTGCACGTAGCAGGACTCTTAACAGGTCTTAGTAATAAAATCAAACCTGAGGCCAGTTATTGAGGTGAAAGCTGGATGATCAGAGAGACAGAACAAGCCACAGCTACCTCACCTCGCCAATTCTTCAGCTGATCCTGTTTCCTCAGACTGGATGCCTCTGAGTCCTCATCCAGAATGAATCTCAGCTGAACTGCTGCTGGAAAGCCTGAAAGCTTAACCAGCCAAATGCTTCTAGTTCCTGGTCCTCACTCCTTATATACCTTTCTGCTTTCTGCCATCACTCCCTGGGATTAAAGGTTCGCTTTCTGGGATTAAAGGCGTGAGTCACCATGCTTGGCTATATCCTTGAACACATGGATTTCTGCCTCTGGAATGCTAGGATTAAAGGCGTGTGCTACCACTGCCTATCCTCTATGTTTAATATTGTGGTTGTTCTGTCTCTGACCCCAGATAAGTTTATTGGGGTGCACAATATTTTGGGGAACACAATACCACCACATGTGCACCCACAGATTCAAACAGCCTTAGGTCACAAAGCCCTGGGAAGATGGCATTTGTGCTGGACACCAACCTTTTCTCGTCTTTGCTTTCCACACAAAACACCTACACTGTTTTAGTTGCCATATCTAGAGCTCCCCTAAGGATAGAACAACTATATCAAAACCTTCTGCAGAGCAAAGGAAAAATATCAGTGACCTCAAGCAGCAGCCTACCTACTGGGAAAAAGACTTGCAAACAATATCTAGCTTAAAAGAAGCTAATACCTATAAAGAACTCATACAGCTCGGTAACAGAGCATCCCTGCTACAAATGAGGAAAATCCTGAACAAACATTTCAATAAAGCAGACAAAAGTGGCCAGCAAGTGCTGTCTGCTCCTTCCTGACTGTGGTCATAATATGACAAGCCACTTCATGTTCCTGCCACCACACCACAGGACTGCGTCCCTCCAGACCTTCACTCTGTCTGCACTGAGAGCTGAGCACTTGGCTCCAGCCAGGTCCCACATCAAGGCTCGCTTCCTTGCCGATTTTAGTGCAGCCCCAGCCCAGTACAATGTGAAGATCGGGCATGATCAGCAGCTGCAGAGTTACCTCAAATTAAGGCCCCCTGCTGCCTCTGTGTCTCTGCAACCCAAGACACGCAGTGAACCATACTCTTGAGGAAATTCATCAACTGTCAGTCATACTGAAAACCTGGCCAGTAGAATACTTCTAGACTATGGAAGTCTTTGAAACAAAAACTCACTGGATTCAGTGACCTGGAGACCAGGATAGAGCCAGAGTCTGCTGGGGGAGCTTAGACACAAGCTCTAAACAGCATGCTGGACACTGGACACACAACAGCAGGGTCGACATTGGCCAACAGCTTCCTGGAGGCTTAACTAGAGGTGAGACCTCAGCGTCTGTAACCCAGCCTGCAAAAGGGAAGCCCAGAAGCAGGAACAGCATTCCAAACGAGATCCTTGGGGGCGGTGGGAACGACACCCAGGGCACTGTGACCAATAGCTAAGTCCTAGCCGTGAAATACCTAAGAGCATGTCAGCTTCTGGAAACCAGGACAAACGTGTCTAGACTTGAGACTGAATCCCGACAACAGGACAGACGGCTTTCATATGGTTACCATCCAGCACTTTCACATTTATCCTGTCAGTTTGTTGTTCTAGAGCTACTCTTTGTTCCTTTCTCAAAGCACCCAGGCTCCGCTGGTTGGTGGGGTCTGTGTCAGCCTCCTAAGAGCCGGGCTGCTGTGTTATCTGATCTGTGTATCTCCCGTCTCATGCTCCTTACTCCTCTCCGACTTCTCCGCTGCACTAACACTAAACACTAGTCTCACTCTCCCTCCTTCCCCTCATACCTGGTGTCCAAGGTACGAGCAGTGCTCCTTGACTTCCTGAAAGAGCGTGTAAGGGATGGCTCATTTTCATGTGGCCGTGACAGTATTTTCACAGTTGACCTACCCTTGATAGCATTTATTGTAGCAGACACTGTTGTCAGAGGAGAACTGGGGACCAGGCCAGGAACAGCAATCTAGCAGAAGAAAACAACACCTCAACCACATCCTTATCCCTCTAACACTGCAACACTTTCACCTGAAAGAATAAAGGTGATGTAATGTTGGAGCCCATTTAGGCTTTATCCAGCAGGTCTGCATAAAGAGGATGACTGGACCACGGGCCCAAGTACCAGGTATCTGAGATGGTCTGCACTTGGCTGTGCTCGGGGGAGGTCTTTTGCTCCGCCCCTTGGTGTTCCTTTAAAAACCCTGGGGCAGAGACAGTCAGGCCCTGATGGATTAGGATCCAGGCCCTCCTGAGGCTATCTTGTATTTTCGATCTGTTTCTCTCCCCTCTTTACTTCTATCTACTATTTCCTGCTGCTTCTACTCAAGAGTACTCTGTGGAAGTGGGGGGGGGGGGTGATGGCCCCCCACAACGTAATTTTAAAAAATTTCTCCTAAGTGTACATCTGTGTACCACCTGTGTGCTTGGTGCCTGAGATCTGAAGAGGGGGTCAGATCCCCCAGAACTAGAGTTACAGATGGCTGTGAGCTATAAACAGGTGCTGGGAACCAAACTCAGGTCCTCTGCAAGAGCAACACATGTTCTTAATTCCTAGGCCATCTCCCAGTTAGTACTTTACTTTTTGTGTGTATGTATGTCTCGCCTGCGTGTAAGTCTATGCACCAGTGTGCATGCCTGGTGCCCATGGAAGCCAGAAGAGTGCATCAGATCCTTGGGAACTAGAACTGTTGTGAGCTGCCATGTAGGTGCTGGGATTCGAACTCGAGTCCTCTGCAAGAACAGCCAGTGCTCTTAGCTGCTGAGTCAAGTCTCCAGCCCCATCAGCCAACAACCTAACAACAGAGGTTTAAGTTCAGGGCAAAAGCACAGGAAACTGGAATACCAAGACAATACAGCTGTGTGAAACCTACCAAACCCACAGTAACCACATCTGGTGAGAGCACATTAATGAAATCTCAAGAATCAAAAGATGATTATAAATACATTAAAAAATAAGAAGACATGAACTCCTGAATTCCAAGAGAACATGCAGAATGAATGAAAGAAGGAGGTCAGCATAAGATATGGAAATGGAAACTAGTAAAAGAAACTGAAGAAAAACCAAACAAACGGAAATGAAAATTCCAATAATTCAAATAGAGATCCGTGGAAAGATTCAGCAACACAAAGGACCATGCAGAGGACAAGAATATCAAAGCTTGAGGACAATGAGGAATTGGATGTTCATTAACAAAGATACATTAATTTAAAAAATATGCCTGGGCTGGGCAGTGGTGGTGTTGCCTTTAATCCCAGCACTTTAATCTCAGTACTCAGAGGCAGAGGCAGGCAGATCTCTGTGAGTTTGAGGCCAGCCTCGACTACAGGGCTAGTTCCAGGACAGCCAAGGCTACACAAAGAAATCCTTTCTTGAGAAACCAAATATATGTGTGTACATGTGCATGCGTGTGTGCGTGTGGGTGTGCACACTTGAAACATGCAGGAGTCATGAGGAACTATGAAAGCACCAAATCTATGAATCACGGACAGATTAAGTTTCATGTCAAAGGTGCAGGAAAATTTTCTATAAATTGCCCCAAGAAACTGCACCATATCTAAGATGCTCATACAGGTACTGGAGGCATTTAGAATACCAAACCTCCCATGTTATCTTAGTATCAAAACACTAAAAATACACAGAGGAAGTATATCTAAAGTTGCAAAAGAAAAAAGTCACATTATAAAGACTGACTCATCAAAATAGCACATTCCTTAACAAATTATAAAAGAGGAGAGTTAAGAATGAAGTATTTCAAGGTCTGAAAGACAGTAACTTCCATCTCAGACTACTGTCCCCAGTCTGCTGATGTGAATGAAAATGGACCCCATAGACTCATAGGGAGTGGCATTATTTGAAAGAATTAGGAGATATGGCCTTGTTGGAGTGGGTGCAGACTTATTGGAGGAAGTGTGGTGATATTTTATTTGTACTGAAATGTGACTTGTGTGTTAATAAATAAAGTTTATAAATAAAGCAAGCCATAGCGAAAGCTGGGAAGTGGTGGTGCAAGCCTTTAATCCCAGCACTTGGTAGGCAGAGCTAGGTAGATCTCTGTGTGTTCAAGGATACAGCCAGCATTGGAGACACATGCCTTTAATCTCAATACCAACCATAGAAGACCTGGAGGTCTGTATAGACAGGCAGTGATGAAGCGGTCATGTGGTTGGGTTTACAACCAATGAGAAGGCAGAACAGAAAGTCTTTATAAAGACAGACACACAGGAAGTAGGTCTCTTTCGGAGAGGCACAACAACAGCGACAGTGAAGGGTAAGGTTTTTAGCTCTTAGCTATTGCTCTGACCTCTTGGCTTTCATCTCTGTATTGGTTCTGTGTTTCTTTTTTAATAAGACGGTTGGTTACATCTACAGAAGTGTGTCACTGGGCATGGGTTTTGAGGTTTCAGAAGCTCAAGCCAGACCCAGTGGTTCACTCACTCTTCCTGCTGCTGTGGGTCAGAATGCAGAACTTTCAACTCCTTCTCCAGCACCATGCCTGCCATGATTGTCTTAGTTAGGGTTTCTATCACTGCAACCAAGCACCATGACCTAAAGGCAAGTTGGGGAGGAAAGGTTTATTAGGCTTACACTTCAGCATTGCTGTCCATCACTGCAGGAAGTCACGACAGGAACTCAATCAGGGCAGGATCTGATGCAGGGGCCACAGAGGGGAGCTGCTTACTGGCTTACTTTCCACAGCTTGCTCAGTCCACCTTTTTATAGAACCCAGGACCACCAGCCCAGGGATGACATGACCCACCATGGGCTGGATCCTCCCCCAATGATCACTAAATGAGAATATTCCTTATAGCTGGATCTCATGGAGGCATTTCCTTAACTGAGGCTCCTTCCTTTCTGATGACTCTAACTTGTGTCAAGTTGACACACAAAACTAGCCAGTACAATAATGAACTAAACCTCTGAACTGTAAGCAAACCCCAATTAAATGTTTTTCTTTATAAGATTTCTCGTGATATGGCGTCTCTTCACAGCAATAGGAACCCGAAGACAGAAGTCAAAATGCTATTGCTGTAGGGGGGAGGGGTGTATGTGCACAACACAACATGAACAGACCTGGCTTCCCAAGACTGCTAAGCCAGGTTAACAGAAGACACCAGAAAGAATTTTTTGGATTGAAGAAAATAAATACACCCAAGAGGCTATGGACAATACAGATACTGTGAATGTAGTCAAATAAATAAGATGAGAATACCAAACACTACAGAGTGACAGGATCAATGTGTATCCTCGCAATAACAACCCTGAACAGTCATGTTCCCAATTCCACAATCAAAGACACAGACCAGCCCTTTGGGGTCAAAGGAAGGATCCATTTATTTGTTGTTTCCAAGAAATGTGCCACCAGTATAAACAGATGGTACCATGAGCTGAGAGGGTGGAAATGGTGCTCCAAACAAATGGAACTATAAACAAGAGCCAGACAGCCAAAAGGTATAAGAAAAGTCATTTTATCGACAGCAACAATCTATCAATTCTAAACTTCTGTGCACCCATTCCATTAAACAAAACCTACTAGATGTAAAGTCAAAGAATAGAGGGTGGAAAGTTGGCTCCGTGGATCAAGTACTTGCCACACAAGTAGCAGGATAGAGTACTGAACCGCAGCACTCACAAACAAGCCAGACAGTTGTGATTTTCTGTAATCCCCAAACTCTGGAGAAGAGCCAGGATCCCCAAGGCAAACTGGCTAGATAAGACTATTCGTTATTGGTGCTCTCTGGCTTCAGCAAGAGAACACACCTCAATAAATGAAGAGTGAGAGAGACACCAGTATCAGGCTCAGCATTTGTGTATATATGTTATGTGTGCACACAAGCACATACATGCTCACATGCACAAACCACATGTAAATAAAATTTTTAAGTCAAATAAAGTCACAAATTAATCCTATTGAGAGCGGCTGGTAGCGAAAGTCCATGGAGTAAACAGCAGTGACAACTAGAGTTCAGAAGGTCAACCTATCAGAACCGAGGGTTCTGTTAGAGGAAACCATCACACGGGCATTATGGAGTTACTGCCTTTGGAATGAACTGGCTGTCTCTTGTTGTAAACCTCTTGTGTAATAACATCTATGATTCTCCCCATTTACCGTGCATCTCCATGTAATGTGTACATGTAATCTCATGACTGCATCTCAATCTTGGGCACAACGTTCCCTATACATTTGGGGTAATTGGACAGTTGTCCCTAGCTGTGTTTATTTTTACTAACATATATCTGGCCACGGCCATTCTCCAGACAAAAGTATTTCAGCAAAGATACCTTTTTCCAAAGACAAAACTGCACATAGATAAACATTAGCTCATCTCACTTACAGATAAGAGAAAATAACCACTGGCAATTAAATCCTCAACTCCTTACCTTCACCCTGGGTTATTTATACAAGACCCTAACTTAAGAGATTTACTGCTCACATTCCTGGGATGATGTTTTAGCCATTTGCTAGTTACTGAGTTAAGGCAGTTACTTCCCACTGACCCAAGGAGATTGCCATCAAGGCCAGGCTGGCATAGGTACCAAGCTTCTTTCTTGTGCAAATTAAGTTTTAACTCCTCCTCAGCCAGGTGCTATTCCTAGATTCCCTAACTGATCTTAGCCTTCAGTTGACCCTACCAGAGAACTCCCCTTCAGTCACTCCTCTTTGGGGTTGTAATTGGAAGCTGACAATTAATTGCTTTATGTGTGGATCCTTATCACCTCTCTCTGCGACCCTGAAATCTTCAAGACTACTGTTGCTTTGCCAAAGAATTACTGCATGTGTATATATACTGGTTCTCTGAGAGCACTGGGGGAATAGACGGAGAAGAACAAAGATGAGGACGGAGACGGAAAGAACTAGATAGGGATGAGAGAACAGCAGAAGGGACTGAGAGCAGGAGGGACCGAGAGGAGCTAAGGATGAGAACAGAAAAGAAACTGTGTAGATAGAATTGACTTAGAAGAATAAAGTGAATGGACTAAAGAACTCAGTGTGCACAGATTCATTTATATCCTTCAGATTAGAATCCTCAGCCGCTTGTAGCATCTGTTCTGAACCCTGGGGGGGAAGAGAGAGAGAGAGAGAGAGAGAGAGAGAGAGAGAGAGAGAGAGAGAGAGAGAGAGAGAGAGAGAAGAGAGAGAGAGAGAGAGAGAGAGAGAGAGAGAGAGAGAGAGAGAGAGAGAGGGAGGGAGGGAGGGAGGGAGAAGAGAGAAGAGAGAGAAGAGAGAGGAGAGAGGGGAGAGAGAGAGAAAAACAGAGAGAGAGAGAGAGAGAGAGAGAGAGAGAGAGAGAGAGAGAGAGAGAGAGAGGAGATGGGGACAAAGAGGAGCAAGATGAAAAGTAGGGAAAGCACTTCAAGATGCAGACATGGGCAAGGACTTTCTGAAGAGACTTTCGGATCACTCAGGAAGTAATGCCAACAATTAAAAATGGGATCCCATAGCTGGGCAGTGGTGGTGCACTACCATAGGATCTCTTTCTGTATGCTGTGAATGTGTGCTGCTCCCATTGGCTAACAAATAAAGCTGCATTGGCCCATGGCAGGGCAGGATGGAGCCAGGTGGGAAAATCCACGAGAGACAGTGAGAGGAGAAAAGAGAGTGTGTGCGGGGGAGAGACGCCAAACCGTCGTCCAAGGAGCAACATGTAATGGGGCACAGATAAAGCCACAGAACACATGGTGATGATACATAGATAATAGTCATGGGTTGAGTTAAGTTATAAGAGCTAGCTAGCAAGAAGCCTGAGCCACAGGCCATATAATTTGCAATTAATATTAAGCCTCTGAATGATTATTTTATAAGTGGCTGTGAGACCTGGTGTTAGGATCCTGTACATGCACAGCTCAGGGTCTTGCATCTTATGTCATCAGGGAGTACTGATGACTACGTACCCACCTTAAAAAGCCGGTTGCAGACCCCAAGTGCTCTCTCTGCTCTGCTCCTGCCATCTCTTCCTCCCCCCAGGCCTGCTTCCCTTCTCTCTCCCCCCCCTTTCCCTCCTAATAAAGATCTCGGTAACTCTGGCAGTCATGGCCGTGGCTCATGACTTTTCTTCCACCAGCGCCGTTTACCTATCATTTGCTGCCGTTACTCGGATAGGAAATTCTGTGCACTCTGCGTCTGGGGCTAGCATTCAGAAGCCTATACTGAGGAACTGTGACTGCCCGCCACTACTGCCACCGCAGAGTACCACGTCAGGACTGTCCTCACTGCCATGACCGCCACCGCGTCTCCTCCCTCTACTACACATGCGATTGGCGAGTTCCCCTGCTGTTTCAGCGACTGCAGTCTGAGCTATATTCCTTGTGCCAGACCTCCAGGGGGTCCTCGGCCTATGCTGGCCCCAACTCATTCTCTCTCTTGACGAGGTCAATGCTGTCAGACCCCTGGGGGATCCATGTGCTGCATATGCTCCCAGTCCTTACTCCTCTCTTGATGAAGGTGGGAGTAACTTGGGCTGATTCATAGATCCTTCTCCTACCTCAGGGACACCTGGGATTGGAGTCTGATCCTGGTTCGTTATTTTTTCTTTTTCCTCTCTCTTGGCTGCAGCCATGGGACATAGGGGTGGATACCAGGAAATTTGCCTGCACAACAGCTTCATGGGAATTATCTAACTTCTGCCAGCGAATAGGCAAATGAAAAGTTACCTTATCCCCAAGCTTTCTACCACAGCTCTGGAGTCCCTCTCCCTCCCCATTTCTGATTCTTTCTCTGTCATGTGCAACCACTTCTGCCTATCTGACTTCTGCTTTCTGCTCTCCGGTATTGGGTGGGCTTTAACTCACCCTAACTCCTCCCACTCGTTCTCAAGCTGCCGTGAGAGGCACAGACAGGTCTAAAATTGGGCTAGGATACATGCAAATAAGTTTACGATCAGTTCACATCCTGCCTCCTGGCGGGTCTTCCTAAAGCTGTCCTCAAGCCAGCAGACATCAAAAAAAAAAAAAAAAAAAATTCAAGACACGGAGGAAAATCGGTATGTTGTCCCCCAGACCTCCCTGACATAAGACTAAAACTTAAGCATCTGGAGAGCAAGGCTCCTGACCCCACAGGCGGAAGTTTCATCTGTGGCATTTAAGGTGTACCAGGGGAGAGATGACAAAGCCCGAGAACAGAATTGCCAAGTGCTGGCACACACTGGCTCCTGAAAGCCGCTGGGTCCCTGTTTTAAGTGCAGGGGGGAAAAAGGCCATGTGGGCTAGTGCGTGCCCTGCCAGGCCATCAATTGAGCCTTGTTCAGAGGGCCACCTAGAAAGACAACCGGTCAGCTGACTGGACCAGGCACTAAGAGGCAGAGGGACAAAGAGCTCCAGCAGACCTAGGCTTGGCCACAGGCTCATTCACAGGGAACCCAGAATGCAGCTGAGTCACTAACCCAGTCCTGGGAGTTTTGGGGTCCCATCTCTCCTTATTTCCCTATTGTCAGGGTAGGGAGGACAGCCTTACCCACCTCACCAGATTTAATTGCACTTTCAGGGCTACTTAATGAGAAAGATTGTCCAGCTAAGGTAGGAGCTTTCACTTCATGCTCCCTCCATGTGCCTCACTCCAGACCTGTCAGCAGTGCTTCTCCTCCTCACGCACAGGGACACAGACAGGGCCCTGATCTCTGCCTTGTCCCTAATTCCAAAAAATGAGTTCTCATTCCACAAGCTTTTCTCTTCTCAGTTCCCTCTTCTAATTAACAGCTCAGCTAATGGTACAGGACCACCACAGAACTGGAGTCCAGAGATCATCAAGTAAGAAACTATAACAGCTAAAAGGTATTTGCACCCCCAGACCCAAAAGTGTCTGGGCTCTATAAAAACAGACTTTAATATAACCATCTATTACTGCTAAATGCTCTCAACAATTGGTCACCTGTCTCCTGGATGCTAAACTAGTAAAGGAAACAGGAGCCTTAAATGATCTGTCTCTGATAAAGCTTAACATGTTCCAATCTCTCTGTCTCCCTCATTAACACTAACCAATATAAGCAGAGTACAATGGTCACTAATTTTCTCATGGCTGCTTCATAACATGTTCAAAATTTTTCCCAAGCTCCAAAAACCATCTTAAATCCATCTGGACAGGTCAGATCTACTTCAGGCCTTTTTCTGTCTCACCAGCATCCTGTCAGACACAAAAGTGGCCAGAGTACCAAGCCAAGAGGGATGGACTGCTCCAGGGCAGCAGGACAGCCCATCATCCCAGGACGCCTGTCTGCATCAAAAGGCCCCCTTCCCTACCCCCACTAAGAGCCAACCAACACCCACCAAGTCAGCTGGAAAGAGTTTTTTCTGAAAGAAACGATGCCTCTATTCCTATTCACTCGCTTTTTATAATAAGCAAAAAGTCTAGAATGTAAGATCCTGTACATGCGCAGCTCGGGGTCTTGCGTCTTATGTCATCAGGGGGCGCTGGCGACCATGTAGCCACCTTAAGAAGCCAGATGTAGACCCTACATGCTCTCTGTGCCCTGCTCTCTGTTCTGCTCCCCCCATCTCTTCCTCCCCCGGGCCTGACTCCCCTTTCTCTAACCCCCTTTCCCTCCTAATAAAGCTCTCTGGAACTCTGGCAGTCATGGCCGTGGCTCGTGACTTTTCCACCGGTAACCAGCGCCGTTTACCTATCACTTGGGCTGGGCGGGACCAGAGAAACTTATGGTTATAATGCACGCCTTTAATCCCAGCACTCAGGAGGCAGAGGAAGGTGAATCTTTGAGTTCGAGGCCAGCCTGGTCTACAGAGTGAGTTCCAGGACAGGCTCCAATGCTACAGAGAAACCCTGTCTCGGGGGGGGGGGGGGGGGGGGGGACACACGACAAAAGGTGGGGGGAGGGGGAGAAAAAATCCCATATTACAAAGTTTTGCAACAAGACATTCAAATCAAAATTTAGAAAAATTCTGCTTTAGCATTTCTTTTAATGATCACTGGTATTTTGACTACACATATGTCTGCATGAGGATGTCAGATCCCCTGGAACTGAAGTTACAGACAGGTGTGAGCTGCCACGTGGGTGCTGGGAACTGAACCCTATTCCTCTGAAAGAGCAGCCAGTGCTCTTAACTGCTGAGCCGCCCCTCCAGCCCCTGCTTTAGCATTTTTAAGCTTTTTTTTTTTTTTTTTTTTTTTTTTTTTTTGCTATGAGTGTTTAGTTTTCTTTTTGCCTAAGTAGAGAAGAAAAAAACGCCTCCTGAGGACATTTCCTCCTAAGCCCTTCACTCTTTCAGAAGAATGCTCTGGTTCACAACCATCCCATCCTTCAGTAGAAGCCTACTTTTAGATGTTGCCCAGTTATTATAAGCCAAGATCTCAAAACCTTAAAAATCTGCTTAACTGACACGACAATGAGGCAGACACCTTTTAAATCCCTACAAAGTCCAACAAAACGGCTTCCTAATATAAAGAAACAGAAGACATACCCTTTTCTAGAGAGCAAGAACAAGGCTACACTTTAAAGCTGTCACCATGTGCTTTATTAGCCATGGTTACTTAAGCCACCCTTAACCATTCTTGACCATGACAAGGATTTTACACACTCATTTTATGATTAGAGTCTCACTCACTGCTTCACTGTGATGCTGACATTGCTTTTGTGATGCTCAACACTGAGCACAAGCTCCTCCCCCACTTGCACCCGGATGGGATTTTCCAGGACCACGGCAGCTTGTTTCCAGTGGGAGGCTTCGCCTGAGGTGTCCAGCCTGACTTCATCATCAAGGCACAAATGAAACCAAAATGGGACAGCGGTCACTTGTCCAGATCTACAAATGCGAACCTATGGAAATTGAATTTTGAACATTTCATCAAGGCAAGTAATTCTTCTTTCTCTTTTTAATCAATTTGAATACAAAAACTAAAAATATATTGAACCACCCATTCAAACTTAATAACTAAGTCTTAGACACTAATATTTATTCAGTCTATTTTTGCATGTTGTCTAGAAAAGAAGATTGAAATCTTCAAAGGAAATGATAGACCATGTAAATATGATGTCCCTCACTTAAGGTAAATTGTTCTGAATGTGACAAGTTTGATCATTTGTGGTTGTCCTTACCTTTACTTCTCTATTGGAAGTGTTCAAATACGGAGTCATTAGATCTAATCTTAAGAGTTCCACTGGCTGGCTTAAAGGGATACATGGCAATGAAGATAAATCCAGAAATACACGGATAGGCACCTGAAGAGAGAGTACACGCTGACTTTTATCATCTGTAGTCGGGTCTGCTCTATCTGCAATTAGCTCTTTGTGACAGGACGCTTTTCATTGTCTCGTTTATTTTACGCATCAACCTAAGGCATGAATCCTCACGATCAGTTTTTCAGGATGAATGAACAAGCCAAGGTTTAGGCAGGCTCAACACTTTGCTACGGTTTGTTACCTACAGGCCTTTCTCCTCAATGAAAACACACTAAACTTTTAAGTGGCCAAACAATTCCAGAAACATTTGTACCTAGAATATGTGAGCTAATAAGCAAATAATCTAATGGTAAATATTAATGTGTTTGATCAGAGGCGCCAAATTTAGCCAAACATGGTGGGTGGTACACGCCCTTAATCTCAGCACTTGGAATATTTAGCCAGGCATGGTGGGTGGCACACGCCCTTAATCCCAGCACTTGGAAGACAAGAGGCAAGGGCATCTTATGAGAGGCCAGCCTGGCCTACACAGTGAATTCAGACCAGCCAAGGCTACACAGTGAGATGCTGCCTCAAACAAACAAACAAACAGCAAGGGATGGGCACAAACTCATCTGAACAGATTCATCCTGAAAAACAAAGTCTTCCCTACAAGGCAATGGTTCCCAAAACCTCGGCTGCAAGTTCAAGTTACTCAGGGTATCCCCATGCCAACCTGTGGTCAGGTCCAGGATTCTGAAGCTCTCAGAGTCCCCACACACAGCAATCTCAGTTGCAATCCATCTCTGTCTTTCACACTTTCAAGCCCCTTCCTTGTTTGAAATGAAAAAGACAGTGCTGCTTAGAAGCTACTCTCCTGTCTGTGAAAGGTGGCGACTGGCCCTCAATCATCCAACCTTTCATAAAAGCTCAGGGGCCCACACCACTTCCAGTCTTCTGTCTGCCTTTACTCCTGTTTGTGCCAGTGACTGAGAACCCTACACTCCCACTTCTCATTGCCTGGGACTGAAATCCTCTCGCTCTACTCACACTGTCCCTCCCCACTTGTGTTTCTCAGCCTAACCTCCTGGCTTTCCTTGTCACCATCAATCATCTTTCAAGCTCTCTAAATTCAGGTCTCAACCCTTTTTTGCGCACACCCCTCATGTTCCATCTAGTCTTGTAGTTTTAAATACCATCTATATGATACTGTTAAATTTACAAACTAGGCCTAGAGTTTCATTGATTCCTTATCCACCCCTCCTACACACAAATACAGCTGATCACTCTGATGTTTCCCACATCAATAAATAGTCACTCTCATTCCTGTTCCTCTCTCACACCCCACACCCAATCTCTAAAACTCCAACTTTTAAAATACATGCAGGAGCACACATGGCTCCGGCTGCAGTGGAAGCCACCACCTCTCATGGCGTCACCACTGTGACTGTGTCTTCAGCTGGCTTTGTTCTATTCCTAACAGTCACCAAAACCATCTTTACAAAGCAAGTTGTTTCATCATGCCACTGTTCAATCCTCTCTGATGCCACCTAAGGATCCTTATTTGCCCCATGGGATATGACCCACACCACATTGGGGATTTTCTTAGTGGACAGTTATCTAGGGTTTGGAGTCATTTAATGCCATTTCTGGAATCAGAAATAGCATCCTAGATCCTGAGGGCAAGCAAGGTATCTGACTGTATGGTGTGAATGCTGGAGTTGGAGGTCTTGTGCTCTCTCTTTCTGCATTGGAACAGCTGGTTGAATGAATCTGTGGTCCCCATATAGGCCGTGTTCCTGAAGGAAAGCAAGGATGGGTCTCAGGCTGGCACTTCTAGGACTCAGCAGCTCCAAAAATGTCTGGTGAAAGGTCTTCTGCCCTTTAATCTTGCACTCCAAGGCAGAGACTATGGGTATACTGCTTTTCTAAGGGGCTGACAACACTGACTGGTATGCCCATTGTAAGTTCCCACCATGTTTTGTTCTTGATGACCTGAGTCAGTCTACCACCCTCCTTCACAGTCAGAGACAACAGAAGAAGTTGAAAGGTTTCCTATCCATAGCAGGCAAACGCGTGGTGCACACTGCCTTCTCTTGAAGACTATTAATTTCCTGAAGAGCTCACACAGTTTACGTTGTCTTCTCATTGGCTGTAGTAGAATAGTATTTTGCACGGATGTGGATTCTTTCTTGGGATCTCCCTGCCTGGCTATCTATGTGAGTGGCTAGAGTTAACTTGATGTCACCAGGCCCATCATCTCTGGGTTGGCTGTAGACCTGCTGAATCGTTGGTCATGGCTCCACCTGGAGGATACGGGGACCCCTCAAGGTTGATCATGCTGGCCATACTCTTAATCTCTTGTCCATGGAGAGGTCCTGCTCCCATCATACACCTCTGATTTATATTGAGATACCTGTTTTGCATAGAATTGGCAGCAATGTACATGGTGACAGCAGATTCTTGAGTTTTCTAGTTCAAGCCTCTTATGAAGGAAACATTCCTGACCCAATCTAATGTGGTCTATTGGACATATTAGGACTATAAGGCCTGTCACTGATAGAAGCATGACTCATTCTCCCTGGAGGGAGTGTACCATCAGGGAGGATTTGAGGCCACCTGTGTACTTGACTTGCAGCACCCACGGGGCTCCTGCTTCTTTCTAGCATGCCTGCACTGGCCTGCCTGGGTTGGCCTCCATAGCTGCCCGTGAGTTCTGTATGTGTACACTCTTGCACACGTGCACACACGTCACACAGGATAAAGGTGGAGATTTGAGGTAGATACTGGGTGTCTTCTTCACTTGCTCTTCCACCTTATTTTTAATAGAAGGCTAATGGAGGTGGAAATTTTCTGCCACGACAGACTTTCTCTCAAACTGTGAGCCAAAGCAAACCCGTACTCTAGGTGCTGTTGTCAGGAACTTTAAAGTTGTAGAACTAGTAACTGAGACATGCATGTAATCTGGGAATGGTGACGTGTGTCTATAATTCTAGCCCTTGGAAGACAAAAACAGGTTATCCTTGGCATTGAGGCCCTCTGGGCTACATTAGACCCTATCTAAAAAAAAAAAAACAAAAAACAAAAATAATAAAACAGTGCATGTAGTACATGCTAAATAAACATTTGTTGAATAGTTTTTTTAAAAAACAATTTTGCTTTTTATTTTGAAGACAGGGTCTCCTGTAACCCAAATTGACCTTAAACTTTTATTTATATGTATGCAGTGTTCTGCCTGCATGCATACCTGCACACCAGACGAGGGCACCAGATCTCATTACAGATGGTTGTGAGCCACCATGTGGTTGCTGGGACTTGAACTCAGGACCTCTGGAAGAGCAGTCAGTGCTCTTAACCTCTGAGCCATCTCTCCAGCCCTACTGAATAGTTTTTAATGTACTATATTCTTTGAACAACCTCTGATTTTGCTTCATTGATTCACAGTTATCTAGTAGTCGACCAATGTAAGAGAGGAGACAATCATTGTAAGAGAGGAGAAATGGGTAAACAGACTAAAACATAAAACTGCCAAGACAGCCCAGTGGTGGTGCATACCTTTAACAGCTTGGCTGAACAGTTCTCTAGACACTTACCTGAAACTGGTTAATAAAAGGTGCTATGTTTAACCCGAGAGTATGCTCTGTTCCTTGAACAGCACTCTCTTCTACCAGTGTCTGTGACTCCACGAGCATCCCGAACATTAACACATACTGGGGGAAGATCTTGCCTCCAGACTGCAACAAACACCTGAAGAAAGGCAAATCATTGGAAAGCCTTTTTATTCCCTACATTTTATAGATAATAAGAATTATGAATTAGTGAAGGGTAGACGATATATAGTCTAGTGGACTTTGTCATTATTGACTAGTAGTTCAAAATTTAAACCACTAGAAATAATTGCTCAAGAAGTCAAATTTGGACCGACTAAGGTAAGTCCTTAGTTACAGACCACAATCATTAATAGGGAACCATCCCTATGTGGAAATCAAAATGATACAAAATCCAGCACTTTTAGCCAGGCAGTGGTGGTGCACGCCTTTATTCCTAGCCCTGAGGAGACAGAGGCAGGTGGATCTCCGAGTTCAAGGCCAGCCTGGTCTACAGAGTGAGTTCCAGGACAGCCAGGGCTACACAGAGAAACCCTGTCTTGAAAGACCAATAAACAAACAAATAAATGAACAGGCTACCATCAGAACACAAGTGCATTAAAAATACTTCAGACTGCTTTATGACTGTGTATAAGATGTATATGAAACATGAATAAACTTCATGTGTGGACTTAAGCTTGCTCCACAAGCTATCATTATGTGTGAAGAGCTGCCACACTGAAGGTCTCACATATCACACTACACATGGCTTAGTACATGAGGGCACAGAGTAAATGTTAAGTTCTCTGAACTATTCCGTAACTTCTCTGAAATGATTCACTGTAAAGGATTAAGCTCTCCAAACGCAAATATATACGTAAACTGAAAGAAATATCGTAGAAAGGAAAGAGACAAAAGTTAACAAAACCCTTTCTCATGCAACTGCACTTAACGCTGCCACACTCCATTCTCCCTTGAACCCCACAAAAACGGTATTAACAAACAATACTGCCTATGGTTATTTAAAAGTATCTTGTTAAGTACGCTGGACCTGGATAGAGAATTATGAGCAAAAAATAAGTGACTGGTGGGAAACTGGCATTTCCCGCGTGTGGGGTACCAGGTGCTCCTGTACCAAGGATTTGGAAGCTATGAAGGCAAAATCGTTCTGACATGAGTTAGGGGCACTTAAACTATGGTGGAGTCTTGTTTCTCATACCTGAGCCATAAAGAGGAAGCAGAAACATAAGACAATGTAGGGTCTTAAGACCAGTGAGACTATTCCTCATCTGTCACATTTTCAAATATCGAACCTTGTCTTTACTGAGTATTCTGGGATGTCTTCTACTTGAACTTCCAGAGCAGGGACTACACAGAGGTGGGCACTGATCACCTCAAGTATCTTTCACAGTAAATTTTACACCCAAGTTAAAGATGTAAGGATCTACTTAAAAAATACAGACTAGCCATCTGGCCAGTTTGTACATATCTAAAAAATAATGTGCATAAATGTTTCAATGTTTGCTATGTAAGTTACCTAAATAGATCATTAAGATTTAGGGGCTCAGGGGACAATTCAGTGGATAAGGAACCTGCAGTTCAAATGTGAGGACCAGAGCTTAGATCCATAGCACCCAGGTAAAACGGCAGCCTGCCCGTAATCCTAGCACTCACTGACGGGGTAGAGATGGGATCCTCGGTGTAAGTTCAAAACCTAGACTAGCCAAATAAGCAAGTTGTGGGTTTAGTAAGACACCCTACCTCAACAAAGTGAAGAGCAAATGAGGAAGACACTCAACACTTATAGACAGATACAGAAGAGCAGGGTAGCATCCATTCCTAGGTTGAAGCATGTACACAGGACTTACTCTAGGCTCATACGACCATGTGCTTACACAGTGAGTAGAGGGGCAGCCTAGTTCAAGGTCATGACTTACCCTTACCCGTCTGATTGCCCTTACATCTAGGTGCCTGTGACTTGTTGATCCTATGCTCTCCTATGCCGTTCCTGACCACTTGTTTGGGTTTGAGGGAAAGTCAGCAGTCCATCTCAATTAGTGACATAACTATCTCTTACAAAGTGACACAGCCCTCAACAAAACCCTTCCTATCAGCTTGTGAGCTGCTAACGAGAGGCTTATTTACTTGTTAATTTTCTGCCCATTTGCTTTAACTTTCCAAAACTTGATGCTCAAGGAAAGTTCTAAGAATGATATAACAGTGCACACTACCTTGTTATTTAACTGTTCTTAAATGACTCATTTAGCAGGCGCTTGACATCGTATTAAGTTTCTCTCTGAAGTGCCGGGATAACAGAGCAAGCTGGCCACCACTGAACCATACCTCCAGCCCATAAACTTGACTTTTACCTTAACAAGTCCTTTCCCTTATTTATTAAAACTTCTCACACCAAACTGGAAGGAGGGCTTCTCCAAAACACAGCCAATTAATTAATTCTCCAACGTCAGCTGAGTATCTTAGGATTCCAGTCCATTCTAACACTATCTACCCATATCATACAAGTGAAAGGGTTCAGTTCCACCTGGCTGCCCATTTCAGATGCCAATCCTAAATCCCACACCCAGTGATATACATGTGGTATTCACAATTCCCTCTTTGAGGGAAGCATCTCATAATTTGCTAATGTGACTCACAGAACTAAAAACAAACAAACAAACAAAAAAACCTATTACCTCTATGTACTGGCTCACTACAAAGGATAAAACTCAGAAATGGGAAGCTGGAGAGATGGTTCAGCTGTTAGGAGCATTTGCTGCTCTTGCAGAGGACCCGAACTCAATTCCCAGCACCCATGTGGTGGTTCACAACCATCTGTTAACTTCGGTTCCAGGGGATCCAATGTCATCTTCTGATCTCTCCAGGCACCAGGCACACATGTGGTACACATACATACATGCAGGCAAAACACACTTAAAATAAACACATCTAAAAAAATTTGAAAGACACTGGGCGGCAGTGGCACACGCCTTTAAACCCAGTACTCGGGAGGCAGAGCCAGGTGGATCTCTGTGAGTTCAAGGCCAGCCTAATCTACAGAGTGAGATCCAGGACAGGCACCAAAGCTACACAGAGAAACCCTGTCTCGGAAAAATAAACAAACAAACAAAAATTGAAAGACAGACAGACCCACTCAGAAACGGCCGACAGGAGACACGCGCGGGCAAAGGTGACTGACACTAACTCTGTATTTGATCTCCTCTTGGCTTTGGTGCTGCTGCTCTCTTGGTTTTTTGGTACAAAGCTCCTAAACACGGAGTCTTCTCACAGTCAAGGGAACAGGAAAGTATCTTCTGTATACCAAGGCCACGCCAGGGGCTAGGGACTCCTGGAGTCTCGGGTTTGTTCTTAGGAAGGAGGAGGAGGAGTGGCTACAGGGTCGGCCTTGACTCTCTCACTTCCCTGCCTGGCCTCAAAGCCAGGCTGAATCATCACTAATACCCAGTGATGCCCATATACACATGGAGCCCTCAAAACCCACAGGAACAGCGCTGACAGCCTCTGTGCAGCTCAGCATGTCCAGGAAGACCATGGACACTCTGCACCTTCCATGGGCCGCACCCTCTGCAGCTCTCCCGGTTCCTCATCTGCACCCTCTAGAATAAGTTAATCTAAGCCAACATTTTCCTAAGTCCTAGGAGCTGCTACAGCAAATTCATCCAAATCTGAAGAGGGTTTTATAAACTGAGGGGACCTTCAATTTGTACCTGGTGGTTTAGAAATACAGATGACAACCTACAAGATGCACCTGACTTCTGAAGTTGTGGCTGTCCTGTAGGTTCTGCCTACCTCCAGAGAGCAGGACCAGAACTGAACAGAACTAAACAACACCCAGTTAGTGTCTGCTGGGGAACTGCTTGGTACAGTGTAGGGTAAGTGCCTGCATAGCTGTCATCAGGAGTACCAGAGCAAAAGATGGGTGAGAGGAAGAAATAGCTCCTTATGGGAGAGGGACACACAGAGCTCCCCGAGGTCTTAGTCACTGGTCATTAACTCCATTTCAGAAGAGGAAAATCTAACCTGGCAACTAGTCTCTACCCCAGACCTGTCAGAAGCCCTCAGCAGAACAAACTCCTATGTCAGGAACAGTTAGACAGAAAGACAATCATCTCACCCCTATCACCCACAAAACTAAAAACAAAACAAAACAAAAAAAAAGTGACTTTTGAACCCAAAATCCCCCATTCAATTTTATGGTTTTTGTTTTACCTGGATATTGCAGCTTTTTCCATTATTTCCTGCTGAATGAGCCCAGATGGCTCAATGACATCTAATATAATTATGCTCCACAATTTGTCTGATTTGGGCCTTTGCAACACAGCAGCTTCATCCTCTATATGTCTCAGCCAAAACTCAAGTGTTTCCTTAGGGAAGTGATTGGCTTCAGATATGAGGTCCAAAGTGACACAATGCTGGTCTTTCTCCACAGAACTATAGGGCTTAACCTCACCAAGTGTTCCAGCAATTATAGGCAAAAGAGAGAAGCCTTCAGACACATCCAACACATAGAAAGGGTCAGAGGTGCTCGGCGCAATTGAGCTCTGTCCACTTCCAGAGTTCATCTCAGTATCCTGACCAGGAGGATCCACAGGCTGCCACAGCTTCTCTGGGGCCAGTGAAGACAACACCTTCCTCATCGCCATCTTAAAGCCTTCATGATATGGAATGTTATTGAGCAAAGCAATCTCTGTAGGTTCTAACACACAGGTCTGCTCCAGAGCATCTGCTCTACTGGTCTGAAGGTTAGCTAGAGCACTGCAGAGCAGAGCCTCATTCCCTAGAGAGAGCAAGTCTTCACTCTTGGTAAAATTTTTTATAACTTCCATTTCATGTTCCAAATTCAGAATATTGATGCTCTGGATTCTCAGGTAACAGTCCTGACAAGATGCTTCCATTGTCACATGGTCCCCAGGCTTTATCCAGTAGTCTGCATTAGTAAGAAAGAAAAATATACATAACTGATTGTCTTAGTCAGGGGTTCTATTGCTGTATGTAATAAACACCATGATCAACAGCAAGTTTGGGAGGAAAGCATTTATTTGGCTTGCACTTCCACATTATAGTCCATAATTGAAGGAAGTCAGGGCAGGAACCTGGAGACAGGAACTGATGCAGAGGCCATGGAGGGGTGCTGCTTAACCGCTTACTCTCCATGGCTTGCTCAACTTCCTTTCTATGGAACCTAGAACCACCAGCCCGGGGTAGCCCCACCCACAATGGACTGGGCCCTCCCCCATCAATTACTAATTATAAAAATGCCCTACAGGGTCACCTATAGCTCCATCTTATGGAGGCGTCATTTTCTTATTTGAGGGTCCCTCCTCTCAGATGACTTTAGCTTATGTGACGTTGACATAAAACACAACTGTCCCCTTGTCAACTTAAGCTCTGACCAGGTCCACTCCATGGCTGCTGCTGTTCTTGGCAGTCATCCCATGATACTGGCATCTCCAAAGTGCTAGGGTCCCTTGCTGCAACTGAACCGTACCTCAAACTTGCCCTGTGGCTAAAGTTGACCTGGATCTCCTGAATTTCCTCCCTCTACCTCCTACGTGTTGGGATGACAGACATGTACTACAAAGCCCAGCTTCTTAGTTTTTCTTTGTTTTTACTATGATCAGTAGATGTACTGCCAAACTGAGGAAAACATGGAGATAGAAAGAGGATTTGTCTATAAGCAAAGATAGATGAAATTCGGGGATCAATATCTAGCCTCATTAAATAGACATTCTTAAAGAGACATTCTTTTCTCTAAAGGTAATTTCCAAAAGAACGAAAGCATTCGGCACAATGGTATCTGCTAGTCGTCAAGCATTTGGAAATTTGCATGTTTAGGAAGGTCCCAGTTTAAGGGAAGGCTAAGTCCTGCAGTAAGGACTGTACTGGGCTCCTTTCTGAGTTTCCACGTGGTCCACTGCTAAGCCACCATGTGTAACTGCCACTCGTCTCTTCAGCCCTAGAGCCAGATGAAAACACAGTCTCGGCCGGGCGGTGGTGGCGCACGCCTTTAATCCCAGCACTTGGGAGGCAGAGCCAGGCGGATCTCTGTGAGTTCGAGGCCAGCCTGGGCTATAGAGTGAGTTCTAGGAAAGGCGCCAACCTACACAGAGAAACCCTGTCTCGAAAAACCAAAAAAAAAAAAAAAAAAAGAAAAGAAAACACAGTCTGCACCCAGGTGTGGTGGCACACACCCATAGCACCAGATAGTGGGGAGCTGAGGCAGAAAGATTGCTTGAGCCCATAAATTTTGCTTCATAACCTAACTACCTGAGTTCAATGCCTGAAATCAAGTGAGTAGAAGCAAACAGTTGTGCTCTGACACATGCATGCAAGTGCACTCCCCCAAAACACCTCAAACATCACAGACAGACTACAAACAATTAGAAATGAAAAACCAAAGTCGTTATTTTTATGTTTAAGCATTTAAATAGCCTTTCCCTGAGGATCCTTGAAGGGATATTTAAATTACCATAAGAAAATGAAAATAAATGAATACAGATTTTAAAATGTAACTTGTTGAGAGCCAAGCTTTTTCACTTCCATGTCTTATCATTCCTCCACCACTCTAGGGTAGACAGCATTGTCCTAGTTTCAGATATGACCCAATAAAAGAGCTTTGCCAGCAAAGTCATTCAACAGGAGAACCAAGATCTGTATCCAAATCTTCAGACTACAGATTTCACAGTTCACTGGCCTGGTGAATCAGATCCCTGATAGAGACTACACAGACATGTACTTCCTTACTGCTTTAAATGGGTAGTTTTCTATGTATCTAACTGCAAAAAACATGGAAACCCATCAAACTGCTATAAACCGTTTTCTTTTCCTAAATAGAAAATACCTTTAATATAAACTTTCCCCAGGGAAGTTTGCAGATCTCCAAATTCTCTTAAAAGTGCAAGATTTTGTACTTGCAGGACTGTGTAGATTTTAATGTCTCTATGTGTTTACTGGAGGGCATATGCACATGCCCTGGCATGATCAGAGGACAACCTGGGTGAGTCAGCTCTCTCTCCCACTGTGTGGGTTCCAGAAATCAAACTCAGGTCATCAGGACTGGCAGCAAGCACCTTTATCCACTGAGCCTCTCTCCAGCCTACAACATACATTCTTAGGACTTGGGCTCTATAAATGTCATCGGGTTCTCTATGAGTTAAGTACTCCCTTACTTAATAGCTCTACAAATGTTACCAGGAGTTAAGTACTCCCTCACTTAATACTTTCCTAACCCCTTTTGGGAGGAAGAAGAAGAAGAAAGGAGGAGGGGAAGGGGGAGGAGGAGGAAGAAGAAGAGGAAGAGGAAGAAGAGGAGGAAGAAGAAGAGGAAGAAGAAGGAGGAGAAGGAGAAGGAGGTGAAGGAGGAGGAGGAGGAGGAGAAGAAGAGGAAGAGGAAAAAGAAGAAGAGGAAGAAGGAGGAGGAGGAGGAGAAGCAGCAGCAGCACTCACTTGAGAAACACTTATAATAAAATTCAAACGTTAATTATCATGGTTTCTAAGCAAGGTCGACAGGCAAATTCGTGACGTGATTCGTTTCTGGTTTGTTTGTTTGTTTTTTAAAGTAAAGTTTCTTTCATCTACTGACAACTAATACTTAAAACTATGAGATGATTAATGAGAGTTACAGCTAAGGAGCATGCAACAGAGGAATTTTTAAATTTTAATTTATTTCTTTAGAGACAGGGCCTCACTATGTAAACCTGGCTGGCTCTGAACTGGCTCCAGAGTGCTGTGATTAAAGGTGTGTGACTCTGTACACATTATTTTTGTTTTTTAACAGAATATCTTTTATTTACTCTTGGACAATTTCATACACATAAACAACACTTCTTGATCATATGCACTCTCAACCCCACCTCCAGGAACTCTCAGGCCCTCTCCCACTTCCCGGGTAATGATTGACTCTCTCTTATTATTTTTTGAGACTGGGTCTCAGTGTGTAGCCAAGGTTGGCCTAGACATTGCTATATAGACCAGACAGGCCGTGAATTCCCAGAGGTCTGCTTGCCTCTGAGGCCTTCCAGTCCTGTGATTAATGGCATGTACCACCACAGCTGGCTTTAGTCTCTCTTCTTAACTATGTATTAGTTACTTATATTTACTTTTGAGCAAAGACATTTATAATTCTGAAATATTTAAGTAATATTCTTTTGCTGAAAATTTCATCTGCAAAGGATTCTTTATTTCTCTTTGGTCAGTGACTCAGTTACTTAGATTAAAGCAACAAATTTTGTTTAATTGGTTTTTGGTGGGGAGGGGTTTGGTTTAAAATTTTTTTTAAGATTTATTTATGCATTTTTTAAAAATATATATGGATATTTTGTCTGCATGTATGTCTGCACATCAGAAGAGGCTTTCTGATCCCATGGGACTATGGGTATAGACAGTTCTGAGCTGCCATGTGGGTGCCAGGAATTGAACTCAGGTCCTCTGAAAGAACAGCCAGTGCTCTTAACCACTGAGCCATCTCTCCAGCCCCCCAATTTTTTTAATGAGATAATACTTACCTGCAAGGGCCTGTACTGGATAAACAGCCTGTTCCCAACAGGTCTCCTCACCAGGACTTGTGGACAGACTGTGCTCATCATCCAGCTGGAGAACAAACCAAACCATAACAGCATCCAGCAGGCCTTCTTTAACAGCAGGAATGCTGAGAGGATGCGGCTCTTTAGCTGCAAGACCCTTTAATTCCTGAACAGTAATGTAAAATGGGTAAGAGAACAGAGTTTAGGAAATTAGTAAGGAGCCAAAAAATTCAAATGATAAAAAAGAATAAGAAGGTTTTATAAATCGAATATGTATTTCCCTCAATGTCATACCTGAAACCGATTCTCAAAGTTCACAGTCTTTCTTGTTTGAATCTTAAATGTTCTTAAAACAAAAAACCCTGAGCCAGATATTGGGGTGAAAGCTGAAAGATCAGAGAAGCAGAGCAAGCCACAGCCAACCTTACCTCGATAATTCCATAAATCCTCTGACTGTTTGCCTCTGCGTCCTCAGCTGAAAGAACTCCAGCCAAAAAGCCTTTAGTTCCTGTCTCCTCATGCCTTATATACCTTTCTCCGCCCACCCATTAAAGGCTGTGTGTGCTTCCCAGTCCTGGGATTAAAGGTGTGTGCCACCACTGCCTGGTTCTGTTTCTCTCCTAGACTGAGTCAATGTCATGTAGTTCAGGGTGGCTTTGAACTCACAGAGATTCAGATGGATCTCTGCCTCCTGAGTGTGTTTTGATGTATTGTGTCCCCAATATATTGTGCACCCTAATAAAGTTTATCTGAGGATCAGAGGAAAAAGCCAGCCACTACAGTAAACATAGAGGTCAGTCAATGGTAGCACACACCTTTAATCCTATCACTCAGGAGGCAGAGATCCATCTGGATCTCTGTGAGTTCAAGGTCACACTGGGAACAGAGCCAGGCTTGGTGGTACATACCTTTAATCCCAGCACTTACCATAAAGGTTTAGAGGTCTGTACAGACAGACAGGAAGTGACAGAGCTGGGCAGGAAGAGGAAGTGATATAGCTGGGCGGAGAGAGGAAATGAGATGGCAGAGCAGAAAGGCATATAGGCGTGGGTATACAGGAAGTAGGTCTCTTTGGAGACTGAGGTGTCAGTGAGGTGAGATTGTCTGTGGCTTTTCCTATTCCTCTGATCTCCCAGGTTTTTACCCCAATATCTGGCTTCAGAGCTTTTATTAATAAGACAGTTTAGCAATTCGTCCTACACGAGTGCTAGAATTAAAGGTGTGTGCCACCATTGCCTGGCTCTCTATGTTTAATCTAGTGGCTTGTTCTGTCCTCTGATCCTCAGTCAATTTTATTAGGGTTCACAATATATCACCACCAGTCTCGCCCTGCCCAGTTAGGGAATCACAGACTATCACACATTTGCTAAACATACAGCAGACACACACACACACTACTGACGAAAACACACCAGTGATGTAGTGCCGGAAGACAAAAACATGCAGCAAAGAACGGGGTCATTTTATTCGGGAAAAGTATTCACGAGCACACGCACACATACGGAGAGAAGAGCAAGCCCGGAACACACACTTCAAACAAGCGATACAGGAAGAGACACCATTTCAGAAGGTGACACTGGGGCCTTTGCATTTCTGTTCTGTCCTCCTTCAAAGTGTTAAAGACACAGACACTGTTTTTAAAGCTAAAACCTTCACAGGTTTGTGTGTGTAAGGAAAAAAACAAATAAAAACTATTAAAGTAAGTAAAAGAACAGCTGTGGGGTACATAACAGCCACACTCCCACTACTCCCTGAACCACTGTGTCTGGTTAGAAAAAACCTTAGAACACAGGACTCTCAACGTCGCAAAACCAAACTTAAAACAGCTGCACACCACCCTCGAGAAAAGGGGAATTAAAGGGGAAGCTTCGACTCCATTTTCAAAATTCATGCTGAAGCACCCTTCCTTCAGTCTTCTGCCACCCCACCTCACAAAGGCGCAACCTAGAACACATGTCATGAACGCCATTCTTTCTTCAAGACCGTAGGAAGGGATGTATTTTACAGTTCTCTTCGGACACTTTACACACATCTTCCTATCATCCCCAACACACGCACACACAAACTAGGTCGGTCTACCTGGCGGCCTTCCTCAGGCCTGTTCTGGCTTTAAAAGGCAAACCCCGAGCAGGAAGTGTAGCTCGGCAGTACAGAGGCTTGTCTAGCATACGCCAGGTTCTAGGTCCAATCCCTAGCATCCCCAAAACAAAAGACGTAAATGTCTCTGTCTCAGGAGTCCTTCAGCTCTTGGTGAAATGGGATATGCCATTACCCTAACACAATGGTTCTCAACCTTACTAATGCGGCAACCCTTTAATACAGTTCCTTACGTTGTGGTGGACTCCCATCCATAAAATTGTTTTCGTTGCTACATCTTAACTGTAATTTTGCTACTGGTATGAATCGTAATGTAAATATCTGTGTTTTCCGATGGTCTTAGGTGACCCCTGTGAGAGGGTCGTTCAACACCTCTCCAAAGGGTCGTGACCCACAGGTTGAGAAACACTGCCCTAACAACTTTAATCTGAAATTTAGATTATTGGGTTTAGATTATTGCTCATTTTAAGGAAAACCATTTATTTGAGAAAATACCATGACAAAGAGAAAAATAATGATCTAGGCTGGAACTTTTGCCTCTGCACTTACATACATAATAACATGGCAGAATTTATTACTGCAAGCAGTTTCATCTAAAGAGCACACATTATCTTACTTCTACGGTCACAGTGAATGTTCATGTAAAGCACACAGCACAGCAGACTCTCAACAAACTCTAGAGAGCTTTTCCCATGCATTTAAAAAGAATTTTTCAAACGGGAATTTTAACTTGCTGCTAATCATTTCTTCTTAAGTAGAACTTCATGTACATTCAAACAGTAAGACACAGCTGGGCAGTACTGGTGATGGCGTACACCCTTAACCCAGCACCCACTCAGGAGGCGGAGGCAGAGGCAGGTGGATCTCTGAGTTCGAGGCCAGCCTGGTCTACAGCAGGAGTTCCAGGACAGGTCTGCACAGAGAAAGCATGTTTTGAAAAAAATTTAAAAAAATAAAATAAAACAAAACAAAACAAAAAGTAACACTTCAAAGGGAAAAAAAAGGTAAGACTTCATACATTACATGAAACAATTTAGGAAATTCTTAAAATTCTTGAAAGTAAGAATTAAGGGCCGGGCATGGTAGCACACCACAGAGGCCGGCGGATGTCTATGATTTCCAGGCCAGCCTAATCTACAAAGTGAGTTCCAGGTCAGCCAGGACTGCTAAACAGAGAAACCATGTCTGGGATGGGGGGTGGAGAAGAGACAAAGAATTAACTTCTTGATTTGTTTTACCTGAAGACTGTTGAAATCCACTTTCATAATTTCAAAGCACTCTGTCAGAGGCAAATACCCTCCAGGGATCCGACTCATCTTCTCAGTTGTATATGGTTCAACTGCTTCTCCACTATCTACAGCAGAGTAGGCTGGGCTCTGAAATTTCACATTTGCTGGCAAATGGACACCAGCAATGTCCGTAGTGCCCACCCTGGTAAGAGTGTAAGAAAAGGAGAGGTAAAAGATGGGCTGTTTTTTTTAATTATCACAATCATTATCTAACAGTTGAGAAAATATAAACGTGAAGTAAGCCCGCAAAGCCGCAGATCTCTTCAGTTATAAACACACACAATCACGTGAGGAACAAATGACGAAGCCTGTATTAAAATGAACAGCTTTGCAGGACGGAGAGACGGCTGCTGTTCCTGCAGAGGTCCTGACTCCCAGTCTGACTCCCAGCACACACCACCTGTAACCCCAGACCCAGGGGATGTAACACACTCTTATGTCCTACAGACACCACATACACATGGCAGACAGTCACACAAACACACATGCATAAATAAAGACTGAAAAACTTTAAAAAGGAAAATATTTACAACACATAGTCAACCAACGATTCATATTCAAATGTACACCTGAATTCCAGCAGGTTAACAGAAGACAAACAAAAATGAACAAACACCGAAACTTCACCCAAGAGGACAACCAAACAACATAAGAGCATCAGTGATCACCAAAGCAATGAAATCAAAACCACACTACATGCCACACCCCCACAATAGGAGCAGTCAACAGCCAGGGTGACTGAGGACACTGTCTCACATGACTGTATCTATTGGTATTCTTTAATGAATTAAATTGACACACCGAGGCATTTATAGACATAGAGTTGACAGTCAACCAGTACATCCCCCTTCAAACAACTTGGTAGCTGGGGTCTGTCTGTCTGTCTGTCTGGTATCCTTGTGCCTACCAACCTCTAACCATTTTTACTATTGCCCTGTAACATGAACAAAGATTAATGAACAATTCACAACAAAGATGAGCAGTAGCTATAGACTGCTAATCAGTTCAGGGTGATTTTTATTTCTTTCCTTTATTCATCAACACTACCTAAAATATCTTTATGTTACCTTTACACAAGAAGGAGACATCTTTGAATGATTTAAAATTCCATTCTGCCCAATCACTGCATTAATGAACTTACTAAGAAAACCAATACTAAAATTTATCTTCACACTGGAAATCCTTACTTGAATCCTTCAATTGAAATCAATCTGAACTTAGTATTTTTCTATACAAACTTCTCACACAGTTAAACGACAGTGAGCTGTATGAAAACAATTTCCATTTAGAAAAAACTGGGCCGGGCAGTGGTGACGCACGCCTTTAATCCCAGCACTTGGGAGGCAGAGGCAGGCGGATCTCTGTGAGTTCGAGGCCAGCGTAGTCTCCAAAGCGAGTTCCAGGAAAAGGCGCAAAGCTACACAGAGAAACCCTGTCTCAAAAAAACCAAAAAAAAAGAAAAGAAGGAAGGAAGGAAGGAAGGAAGGAAGGAAGGAAGGAAGGAAGGAAGGAAGGAAGGAAGGAAGGAAGGAAGGAAGGGCGAGCGAGCTGGGTTTAATCCTGGAGTTCTTCTTAAAATAAGTAAGACTAAACATAAACACGCACTAAGTCTTGAAGTAGTAGTTTTGGGGTTTTTTTTGGGGGGGGGGGGGTTGGAGGGAGGCTTTCTGAGTCAGGGTTTCTCTGTGTAGCCCCGGCTGTCCTGAACTTGCTCTGTAAGTTCCTGGGCTCGAAATCAAAGATCCACCTGCCTCTGCCAGCACCCGCACTCCCTCAGTGCTGAACTAAAGGCATGCACCACCACTGCCCGGCTTAGAGTGTCCCTCTAGCCACTCACCTGTGGTGTCTTCGGATCTCTGCACACTCTACTGCCATCCCAAATATAACAGCACTTGCTGGGATAACTTTCCCATACTGTCCACAATTTCGATTTTCTCCTTTGGTCTGAAAATATAACAAAAGTCACATCATTCCATGTACAAATAAGAGAAAGAAGAGAGAGAGAGAGAGAGAGAGAGAGAGAGAGAGAGAGAGAGAGAGAGAGAGAGAGAGAGAGCGACTGTGTGCGTGTGTGTGTGTGTGTGTGTCCGTGCGTGCGTGCGTGCGTGTGTGTGTGTGCAGGCTAAGGAATTTTTCCTTTAAAAAGTATTTTCACTGTTTTGTGTGTGTATATATAAATACATATGTTATTTAATGTTTAGAATACAAGTACAAAGAGGTAGAGAGGTGTAAAACTGTATCAGTTCAGGATACAATTTAATGAAAAAAAAAAAAGAGCCCAGTGATCGTGGCACATGTCTTTAATCCGAGCACTAGGGAGGCAGAGGCAGGCAGATCTCTGCAATCAAGGCCAGCCTGGTCTATAGGTAGAGCTCCAGGACTGCCAGGCTCCATAGAAAAATTCTGTCTTGAAAACAAAACAAAAACAAAAATGGAGGGACTGGAGAGATGACTCAGAGGTTAAGAGCACTGGATGCTTTTGCAGAGGACCGAGGTTCAATTCCCAGCACCACAAGCAGCTCACAACCATCTCTAGCTCCAGGCCCACAGGATGCAATGCCTTCTGACCTCCACAAGCACTGCACACATGTAACAGGCACACACACACATCCCACAGGCACACACACTCAACAGGCACACACACACTCAACAGGCACACACACATTGCACAGGTACACACACACTCAACAGGCACACACACATCCCATAGGCACACACACACTCAACAGGTGTGCACACATCCCACAGGCACACACACACACTCAACAGGCACACACACACATCCCACAGGCACACACACACTCATCAGGCACACACACACACTCAACAGGCACACACAATTCCCACAGGTACACACACACTCAATAGGTGCACACACACTCGACAGGCACACACACACACTCAATAGGTGCACACACTCCACAGGCACACATGTTGCTAATGTTTTCCTGCCTGGCCCACAGTCAGGACAAACTCTCTCACCTGCCAGTCCCACAGCCACTCAGACCCGACCAAGTAAACACAGAGACTTATATTGGTTACAAACTGTATGGCTGTGGCAGGCTTCTTGCTAACTGTTCTTAGCTTAAATTAATCCATATCCATTAATCTATACCTTGCCACATGGCTCGTGGCTTACCGGCATCTTTACATGCTGTTTCTCATCATGGCAGCTGGCAGTGTCTCTCTCACTCAGCCTTCCACTTCCCAGCTCTATTCTCCTCCTTGTCCCGCCTATACTTCCTGCCTGGCCACTGACCAATCAGTGATTTATTTATTGACCAATCAGCAACACATTTGACATACAGACCATCCCACAGCACACACACACACACACACACACTCAAAAGGCACACACACTCCACAGGCACACACACTCAATAGGCACACACACACTCCACAGGCACACACTGGCAAAACATTCAAACAGAAAAGTAAATACATATTCAAAAAACAGGAGAAAAAAAAGCAGATGACATAGAGCTCAGCAGTAGAGAACACTGGCCATGTGTGAGGCACCAAGTTCAAGAAAAAAGAAAAACATCAAGGTCATTATCTATTTGAAAAATAAACTGCTGTTCCATGTTAAATACATATCATCTTCTATAAACAGTGGATTTTATTCAAGTCCCCTGATACAGCCAATGTATACAGTGAATGAACTGTACTATACATACGGCACATGGGCTATAGCAGAGGAGTTCAGTGTTCTGTCTAGTAGCCTTAACTCACTGAGTACCTTAAAATATTACCGAGCTAGTATTACTACCCTCTTTTCTAGAGATTTGCCAAAATTCCAAGCATTAACACTGTAAGATTCAAAGTACTTCCCTCTCCAACAACTACACTCAAGAATTTTAGTCATTCCCTCCACAAATAACTTCATTCATACGACTCCCTTCTCATTGAACTCTTATCCGTAAACCTCACTGGTACACGCGGTGCGCACTGTGTTACACCGCTGTACCTCACTGGTGCATGCGGTGCGAACTGTGTTACACTGCTGTTGAATGCTTTCTCTGGTTTCTTTTCAGGTACACAGACATACTCTGATATATTTCCAGTCTTGCGAACATTCTTGGGCCTCTTGAAATAATAAATTCTTAATCAGATTTTTGAAAATTGAGTGTTTTCACATAGCTTACCTTTGGTTGCAGAAGTAAATGCTCCCATGCATGAATTAAACTCTCCACAATTCCTTCTCCAAACACACCTGCATCCACAGTTTCTGTTACAACTAGGGACACTCTATAGAATGATGTTTTAAAGATACATGTAAGTAAAATGACATGCTATTTATATAAAGCTGTCAAGACAAGAGAAAAAGGCAAACATGTTATAGAAAATCCCTATGTAAACTTTTCTGATACATTTTATTTTAGTATCTTCCCCCGAATCCTGGTGTCCCTTGGGCTCCTCTCCTCTACATCAGCTCCCTTTCCTTGCTCTAGGTATAAAGGGGTTGCCTTCTCAGACTCTCATTCACTGCCTAAGTCCTTAAGAGTAACTGGTACCCACATCTTTACTAGTCCCTTCCTTAACATCAAACACTGAGCTTCTAACACTCCAGACAAATGTTTTTCTCCCAGCCAGAACTTGGGATGTGGAGACAAAAGGATCAGGCAGAAGTTAAAGGTAATCTTTGACTATGTCGTGGGTTTGAAGCTAGCCTGGGCTACTTGAAACCCTGCACTAAAAAAGCAAAAGCAAATCAGGGAGGGAATACATCCAGATTCTCTACCATCAATGACCCTTCTCAAAATGAATTTTTGTTTTGTTTTTGTTTTCTGGAGACAGGGTTTCTCTGCGTATCCCTGGCTGTCCTGGAACTCACACTGTAGACCAACATGGCCTCAAACTCAGAGATCCTCCTGCCTCTGCCTCCCAAGTACTGGGATTAAAGGCATGCACCACCCCAGCAGGAATTTTCTTTTTGAGCTGTCTTTTTTTAAAAAAAAAAAAACATGTTTGTTTTGTGTGTGAATACATGTACACACTCTTTCTGTGGGTACGGGTGTACCATAATGCACATGTGGATGTCTGAGATGGTTCTCTCCTTCTACCTTGTGTGTGAATATGTGTACACACTATTTCTGTGGGTACGGGTGTACCGTAATGTACGTGTGAATGTCTGAGATGGTTCTCTCCTTCTACCTTGTGTGTGAATATGTGTACACACTATTTCTGTGGGTACGGGTGTACCGTAATGCACGTGTGGATGTCTGAGATGGTTCTCTCCTTCTACCTTGTGTGTGAATACATGTACACACTATTTCTGTGGGTACAGGTGTACCATAATGCACGTGTGGATGTCTGAGATGGTTCTCTCCTTCTACCTTGTGGATTTGAGGGACTGAACTCAGGTCATGAGGCTTGGCAACAAATGTCTTTACCCAGTGAGCCACCTTGCCAGTCATGATTTGATATGCAAATAACATTTAATGCTGACAAGCACCTTCCCTCCCAAAATTCCATCTTGACCGTCCACATTACACGTATCTGACTGCGCCTCTCCTACCCCTTCTCCAGTCTTCACAAACCTACCCCAGAGGTCCGCTCCTTTCCTCAGTCATTCATTCTTTCTCAGAAAGAAGGTCTCCCCTTCTCTGAACTTCTCTAGCTTTCACTGCCGGCACCGTTCACTTCTGTATCTAAAGATGTACAAAAATGTCATAAATGGCCCTTATGCTCCTCTCCAGATGTGGAGGCTTCTGAGAGGTAGGGATGACTTGGGTATCCTCCACAGTACCTAGACCCAACTATACCTACAGACAGAAAACATTCAATATTTATAACCGCATACACTTAGAATATGAAAAGCACCTCAAATCGTCTAGTCCTACAACTTAGTCCAGAAATCTGCTTATTGTCAAAGTGAACAAGTAAGAGTCTGAATTGAAATATCTATTTCACCTGCCTCAAAAGCACTCTGTGAGGAAAATACGGATTACAGTAACCTCAGCTTCATGCCAGTCCAAATCTTATGTGGAAGCCCTAATCGTATACCTGGAGACAGAGCCCTTAGGAGGCAATTAAGGTTAAATGAAGTCACCAACATGAGGTCCTAGTCCAGCAGGACTGGTGTCCTACTGAAAGAACCAACACTTGCATTAAGTCACACACAGGAAAGGTCACACGAGGACACAAAGAACAGGTGGCCAACTACAGCCAGGAGGAAACCTACCTGAAAAATTATGCGCCTGTTGTTTAAATTCTGTGACCTTGGGCTCCTAAGACAACTTAGGACAACGTTTCTGTTTTGTCTAAAATGAGTATACACCTGCATTGACAATCTGATACACTTCTTCTCTAACAAAGACCACTGACAAGTGTAAGTACCATGCACACATTACTAAAACTAGAAGTCGTCTTAAAAATCAGAGTTCAAATAACAATAGAGTACCAAAAACTTCTTCACATGTAGACTACATTTAAGTAAGCCAAAAGACAGACAGCACGGGCAGTTACATCACAAGTGTTACGTTATGAAAGGGAAAGTTCAGCCGGGCGGTGGATCTCTGTGACTGTGAGTTCAAGGCCAGCCTGGTCTAATGAGTGAGTTCTAGGACAGCCAGGACTGTTTCACAGAGAAACCCTGTCTTGAAAAATTTTTTTAAAAAGGGAAGCTTTAAAATGATGGGACAGATGACGTTCAAATCCCTTCTAGTTCTAATCTTCCATTGCTCTCCTGCCCACAGTGAGATGCAGATGAAAACATAAGGCTTCTCAGACTGCACATCCAGTATCTGAAGGCCACAGGAAACACTCTGTCAACTGGCACTTCTCAACTCTCATTTTAATCAAGGATAGTGATGAAAATGGGATGTCTGCTCAGTGTGAACTGTTTACACTTTAAACAGTTACTTAACACTGCTGACCTACAGGAAGTCTATCCACCTTTATGGACAAAAAAGCATGAGTTTATGTGATGTGTTAAAGAAGGGTTTTTGCTAACTTCCTCAGTATCAATTTTTCTTGAGTTCTTTAGATACTTTTTAAAAAGTATGTTATTATAAAATCCTGTATCTTATTAAACTGGCTGATAACCGTACCACAAAACGAGGATGTTAATACTTTTTTTAACATAAGAAGCTGGAAATGCATCTTAATGTTTTGGTGAGTTATAAACACACCTTTCAGGAATGTGTTTTGGAATCTCTATATCAAGTGACTTCATGTGGAGGAGCTGAATCCCAGTCTCCATCTTGTTTGCCGCCACGACGTCACAGGCGAGCTCATACATGGTCCTGGACAATTCACAGGCGTACACGGAGTGCGCACCAGCTTGTCTAGCAAACATGCTGCAAGAGAAGAAAACCCACCGTGAATACTTCCAACGTCTACAGTTAGGACTCCAAACACGAGGTCTTCCTTCCCTTCCTCAATACAACCATCATCTCTTCTGCATTAAAGATTAGGGCCAGCAAGACGGCTCAACGGGTAAAGCATCTGCCACTCAAGTCTGACAACTCAAGTTCAATCCCTGAGACCACAGTGGAAGGAGAAAACTGACTCCTAAGAGTTCACTTCTGGCTTGCACATGCACACTGTGGTGCACAGGCTTGCACATGCACATGTACACACAAAATACACCACACGTACATACAGATTAATAATAATCTAATTAGGCCAGGCGGTGATGGAGCACATCTTTCTTTAAAAGACTTATTTATTTATCATGTATACAGTGTTCTGCCTGCATATTTGCCTCTATGCCAGAAGAGGGCACCAAATCTCATTATAGATGGTTGTGAGCCACCATGTGGTTGTTGGGAATTGAACGCAGGACCGTTGGAAGAGCAGCCAGTGCTCTTAACCTCTGAGCCATCTCCAGCCCCCTGTGGAGCATATCTTTAATCCCAGCACCCAGGAGGCAGAGGCAGGTGAATCTCTGTGAGTTCAAGGTCAGCTACATAGCAAGTTCTAGGACAGCCAAAGATACATAGTGAGACACTATCTCAAAGAGGTCTAAAAAAAAAAAAATCAAGATTAAAAAATAATAATAATAAATGAAGCTGGGCATGGCGGTGCACGTCTTTAATTTCAGCACTCAGGAGGCAGATGCTGGCAGATCTGTGTGAGTTCAAGGCCAGCCTGGTCTACAGAGGGAGTTCAAGGACAGCCAGGAATACAAAGAGAAACCCTGTCTCAAAAAAAGAAAAATAGTAATAAGCATCATCATAATAATAAATAAAAAGAATGAACTAGCATACTTGTTTAAAAACAAACCATTCAATAAAAAATGACATCCACACATTTTGTTTTGTTTTGCTTTTTGCTTTTTTGAGACAGGGTCTCTCTACATTGCATTGGCTGTCTTGCAACTCACTGTGTAGACCAAGCTGGCCTCAAAGTCACAGAAATCCTCCTGCCTCTACGTCCCAAGTTCTGGGATTAAAGGCATGTACTACCACACCCAGCTCAGCATCCACACAATTAAGACACAACTGGCAAGAAGTTTGCTCAAAGGCTTTCTAGATTCCACCAAAATGTTAATATAAAAAAATACTCTAAAATTCGTTATTCAGAATTTCAATAACCCCAAGTTTTTCTTAGTTTTCTTGAACTTTTGATAAGTAAAATCATAATAAAAAGTACAATACTAATAGTTGCATCAAGCTGGGCAGTGGTGGCATGTGCCTTTAATCCCAGCACTCAGGAGGCAGAGACAGGGATATCTCTGTGAGTTGGAGGCCAGCCTGGTCTACAAAGTTAGTTCCAGGACAGCCAGGACTGTTACACAGAGAAACCCTGTCTCAAAAAATAAAAAAGAATAGTTACATGAATAACTCTAACAATTATGAAAAAACAATTGCCATTTTTATATACCAATGTTACAGTTTTGCTCTCTAACAAAACTGTTCTGTCATGTAAATATAATAAAGAAAGAATAATTACAACAAACCTCAGTATTCCAGTTCCTGTGCCAATATCCAGAACACTTTTGGAGCCCAAGCACACGGCCTTCTGGATGGCTGCATTATAAACCCTGTTCCTCTTGGCGTCATTAAGCATGATGAAGTGCCAGCGCTCCACCAACCAGTTTGCAACACGGTAAAAGTTCTCCTTTGCATCACTGAAATCAGGGTTGAGCTTCACTGCTTTATGAAAATACCCAGCTGCCTCATCTTGAAAGCCCATTCTAGGGGAAGATATGAAAGAATACATTCACCTCTACGTGGCCAATTACAATGCCTCTGTTCACTCACTACCCCAGATCCTAGAGCAGTCTACCCCCAGGCAAAACTTTCTCCTTCTGTGAGTATGGCACTCTCCTGACTTCTTTTATGAATCTCTACCTAGGCATCTCAGAGGGCCTGTGTGTGGAAATGGGGCATCAAAGGCATTAACTTGTTCTGAATTGAGTATGAGCAGATGAAAAATAAAAGACAAAGGGGAAATACTATTAAGTCATCTGAATGCTGCTTCTCAAACTGTGGTGAAAACCTCCTCATCACTGTTTAAAACAGTTAATCATAGGCTGACTGCACTGCCCATGACTAGACACTTCTCACATCCCATCGGACTTCAGCAGCATCCAAACTGGTCTCTACTTTGTTCACCCTATGAGCTCTCACTTGAGCAGACATGGATTTCTACTACTATCAAATTCTCTACACAGCTGGCACGAATCAGGAATTGACGGAGCACACATTCAACAGAGCAGAACAAGTAGAATTCTCACTCGGTTCTTCCCAAGCACCGTTAGTCACCATCCATTCTAGAGAAGCTTCATCGTGACTATCATTCTAGGCATGGCTAAGACAAATGGGACAAGTAACAAAAGGGAGATGCTGGTTAGATTGTAGGCACTCATGTTTTAAAATTAAAATACTTAAGGTCAGTATACGTTACTTCTTTGTTACCCCGAAGGGAGAGGTATCTTGTTTATATTCTGAGACTGCACAGAACAACACATCACAGAAGAAAACACATGGTATTAATGTGAACAAGCCTCACCATGCTGAACCAAGATGTGTAACAAGGAAGACTACTGCTGAATTCATTTACTTTATCAGAACCGCAGAGATTGTACACACTCCCTTCTCCAGAGCCCTGGCCCTGCACAGCCCTTGGGAGTAGGAGACAAAACTACTAGGTTGATTATTGTGCTGGTCTGAATGTAACTGGCCCCCGTAAGTTCACAGGGAGTGGCACTGTTAGGAGGTGTGGCTTTGTTAGAGTAGGTGTGGCCTTGTTGGAGGAAGAGTGTCACTGTGGGGTGGACTTAAGGTCTCATATATGCTTAAGCCATGCCCAGTGTCTCAGTTCACTTCCTCTTGCCTGCCGATCAAGATGTAGGACTCTCAGCTCCAGCACCGCCATGTCTGCCTGTACACTGCCATGTCCCACCATGATGACAGGGGACTGAACCTGTTGTAAGCCAGCCCCAACTAAATGCTTTCTTATAAGAGCTGACTTTGTCATGGGGTCTCTTCACAGCAATAGAAAATCTAACTAAAATAATTATCACCGGCTAACAGACTCTAGGTATATAAGAGAAATTCTGTGGGCACTAAGGCACTTTTCAGCTCATTACTAACATCAATGACCTGAGAGAAGACAATGGTACAGAAATGCATGAGAACATCTAGAAGGAATATAAAATGAGATTCATTTATTAAATTCTTAAATCTGAAATTGCAACTTGCCAATTTGGCAGAACCATGCTCTTTCCCCCATTACTTTACAACTTCCAAATTCACACGCAATGCTAACTTTTCATTGTAGTCCTGTAATTTCTCAGGAATGTGTATGGTGTGCTGGTTTGCACAGAGTTCACATGGCAGGCCTGATGGGTGCCCTTTGAGAAACTACTTCCAAGGCTGACCTTTGACTGTCACGTGGGTACTTAGACTGATGAGAGTTTTCATTGTTTTAACTGATAATGAGGGATCCAATGTGCCTCAATGTTTATATAAGCAATGTGACTTATGCTGCATATGGCTTTTAGTCTGGGAGTCTAGAGTCTGGGTATGCACCACAGGGAGGTGGAGACTAAGTATGCAACCTCCAATAAAAACCCTGTGTACCAGATTGCAAGCCCAGCGCCACTTTGAGATCTTTGGCAGCAGTTAACTCTGCAGCTCACACACAATTGAGCCTGTATGATAATGAGTATTCAGAGACCGGTAATACCTAGGGGGCGCTCACCAACCTAAGACAGAGCGCCTGTGTAGCCTGGGCAGGCATCTCCATGATGGGTAAGGTGACCTGCTGACATCCCACGCAACCTAAGTCAGAAGCTCATTTTTTAGTAAAAGGGGGACCTGTAGGACCCTGGCCCCCGTTTTGGGTAACTTTTGCCTTGCTTGCTGACCTTGACCTTGACATCCTCCCTATGCTAATTCCCTGCTGGGTTCCACCCTCCTAAATGCTTAAGGGAAGTTCTTTGTCTGTGTATCCCGCATTATGGGCGTTAACAGCTTAGATGCAAGATTATAAAACATCTGTAGCGAACTTCTGCCCTCCGGGGTTCTCCCATTGTGCTGTAAGCCTGTATTTAAGACCTCCTCTTCCTTCAATAACGGCATTCGGCTTGTTATCTCCCATAAAAAAAATAATAAAATAAAAAATTAAAATAAAAAAACAATCCTATGTACTAGAGCTCCCAGCCTGCAAGCACGTGACTCACTGCGGAGGTGGGAATGTACACTGTGACTTCAGAAAGGAACCGAAGAAGACTGCTCTTGGATTCTTTCCGACTTGCCCTGTATTCCCTTTCCTTCTGCTAGTGTTGCTTTCCAATCAAACTAACTAAAGACAACCAGTTCCTGACTTACTACCAAATGCACCCACTTCGCCTGCAATGTGAAAGCGTATCTGGCCTTTAACAGCCACCAGTCAGTACAAGGTGCAGGAGACACCGCAGAAGGGAAGTGTTCTGGTCCCCTGTGCTCAGGGCTCCCTGTGTGCATGGGAGGCAACAGCATCCCAGGGCATGGCGCCAGCAGCAGTGATGGCAGCTTACCTAGGACTCCACCCAGCAGAGTTTCATTAACAGTACGCTCCAAATTTATACTTCCCCATTAGGCTTTCTCTGGCACCCCAAAAGGAAAAATTCTAGCAAGTTCTAAAGAACAGATACACCAGTTTTCTGGCAAGGCATCCTGTGAACCACAGCTGTGCCTTTTCAAACAAGGACTGGATCTGAGTCCAGTAAAGAAACCTCTCCCTTCGACAGTTCCTCAGTCCCAGGGGTATGACTCTTGAATAATATACTGTAAAACTGCCATGGCCCTGCAAGATGGCTCAGCAGGTAAGGGTTCCTGCCACTAAGCCTGAACACCTTAGTTCAGTCCCCAAGGCCTACATGGTGGAAGGAGAGAACCAACTCCCAAAAGTTGTCCTCTGACATCCACATGCAAATCATGGGACATTACCCACACACATGTACAAATGCACACATACCCACATGTGCACACACAAAATAAACCTAATTTTAAATTGCCAGATTACATACCATCTTTACTATTCCTATATTCTTTTGAGTTCTCCTTATTACTAACTAATCACTCACTCCTCCGATCCTGTTATGGTTAATTATGTACAATAAACTTTCCCTATTTAAATTATCCTATCTACAGGCATAGTGGTGTGTACATGTAGTATCTGGCTGAGACATCACGTAAGCCCACAAATTCCAGTCCAGACTGAGCTGGTGGTAAGACTCCATCTCAAACCAAAGTAAGTTAATGCATAATTTATACTTGCTTTGGACTGATAAAGAATAATCTTCAACACGTAATAGTTAAGTCACTACAAACCTGAAGAGATGCTCTCCCATACTATTGCAAATCACTTCATCATCAGGAAATAGTTCCAAGGCCTGCTCATAGCAACCAAGTAAGTCTTGTATTCGACTGAGTGCATCAAGCTCTTCAGCCCACTTGAACAGTGTATACTGAAAAGTTTCCTTTACAAACAAGAAAAAAAGTACAAATTAGTAAACAAGAATGAAGAACACACAATTCCAGCTGAAGAGTCCAGCAAATGGAACTATAGCAGAAATGAATGATGACCTGAAATTGCTAATTTTTAGAAAGACTGTTTGAATTAAGAACGGCCCCATAGGCTCATATATTTGAATGCTCAGTCCCCAACAAATGGCACTTGTTTGAGGATTAGGAGGTGTGGCCTTGTTGGAGAAGCATGTCACTGCGGGTGGGCTTTCAGGTTTCAAAAGCCCAAGTCCAGACCAGTGTCTGTCTGTCTGTCTGTCTCTTCCACACCCCTTCCTTCCCTCCCTTCTTGCAGATCAGGATGTAGCTCTAAGTTACTGCTCCAGTGCCATGCATGCTGCCAGGCTCCCCACCATGATGACCGTGGACTGCACTTCTGAACTGTAAGCAAGTATGTAGGCAGTATGATCTTTCTGTAAACATCTGCTCTTAGCTGCCTCTCTCCTGTCTGTGATTTGCAGTAGCTGTGCATCAGGAGTGTCCCTGGCCCTCTTACTCAGCCCTAGTGTACAGTGCACTGTCGCATATGTGTTAATGATGCAACATGTATATGTCTACTCAAGACCTTGTTTTCTGGCCCTCAGACTCTGGCTGTCTCTACCAGTCAGGCACTGGATCTCCAGTCATCTCATCAATCAATGAGCAAAGAACTAGAACTAATACTCAATGATGAACGTGAATTTTGCTGCTATCCTCACAGAATCCTGTAGGCAGAAATTTAACAATCTTTAAAAAGTTCAAAATGTTCTCAACTGCCCCACCACATTCCCTTCACAGGCTATAAAGATATCATTCAGTCTCAAACCACAAAGTCACTATTTACTGCTACCCTGTTGTATAAGTTTCCTCTGAGCGAAAACATTCCATCCTGCAGAAAAGCTCCTTTAAAAACAGAAGATAGCCGGGCGGTGGTGGTGCACGCCTTTAATCCCAGCACTCGGGAGGCAGAGGCAGGCGGATCTCTGTGAGTTCGAGGCCAGCCTGGTCTACAAAGTGAGTTCCAGGAAAGGCGCAAAACTACAGAGAAACCCTGTCTCGAAAAACCCCAAAAAAAAAAAAAAAACAGAAGATAAACAACTCAAGATAGCTTCAGGAAGTCCCTGAAACGGACCAGGTTTACTACGCCCCAATATGACAAAATTACATAATATTGTTATGATTATAAACAATAATAGTGCTGAGCGTCACTCAGACAAGCCTTATAAGTCTCCTTATAAGGAGACTCTTGAGATCACACCAACTGCCTGGAACAAGCAGAAACCAGCAGGTTTAGAGCAGAGTCACTTGGAAAGGATGCTCTCGAGTCTGGTGGGCTGCCAACAGGTTGTGCAGAGTGTTCTAGTTTCCAGCTTTGTGAGTTGTCATCCACGGTGGGATGGGCTTGGATGACACAGCTGTCTTTAAGTTATTTCTGTCCCTGTAAGTAACCCCAATAAACTCAATGGTTCACTAAGTTGGACTTTAATGGTATCCATATTTTGGTCTGTCATGGGATCCCTATCTGGGGCAAGTAGACATACGTTGTGTCCCCCAAGTTTTATCACAAAACATCCTAACTCCACTATCTTTAATCTGCCACTTCCGGACAATCTCTACTGCGACAGCCTAGCCTGACCCTTGGTCAGTTGGTGGAGTGCAGCAATTGCCTCTCACTGCAACCGAGCTCAGTCTCCTCTTCCTGCATCTGTTTTCCATGATATTGCACTATGCAAAGAAGGCAGGCCCAGACATTCCACTTCTCAAGATAATAAACTTTACACCTAAGAGTTAATCCAAAACTGAACTACAACTTTACTAGGAAGACAAGGATAATGAAGGAGATTCTATTATATATATATGATAGATATTCTAGATATCTAGAAATATGAATGGACCAAGAGTTCTCTAGGTTAACAGATTGCTCAGTGGTTGAGTACTCTTTCCTAGGATGCTTAAGGCTGGGTTTAGTCCCTGGTAACAACAAAAATAAGTAAATAAATAAAACAGCTAAGGAGCTCCAGAAATGGTTCAGTAGTTAAGAGCACTTGCTGTGCTGGGTGGTGGTGGTGCACACCTTTAATCCCAGCACTCACTGGGGAGGCAGAGGCAGGCAGATCTCTCAGTTCAAGGCCAGCCCGGTCTACAAAGCAAGTTCAAGGACAGCCAAAGCTACACAGAGAAACCTTGTCTCAAAAAGGAAAAGAAAAAAAAAAAAGAAGAGTACTTGCTACTCTTGCAGAAGACCCAGGATCAGTTCCCCAGCACCCAGATAGTAGCTCACAACTGGCTATAACTCCAGTTCCAAGGAATCCAATGTGCTCTTCTGGTCTCCTCAGACACCTGCATGAAGAGACTCTAGCCAGCCTGAGCATAGCAGGCATGGCTCTGGCAAGCCTTGCCCTTCTCCCTGTTCCCTCTGCCTTGCTAAAAACTGTTAGATCACATTCCTGAAACTAGTCACCAAGGTCTGTTCCCTTATTTGGCCACTTCCTCCTCCTGAGGCTGACTATCAAGGTCCAGCAATCAAAGTATTGAAGTTCAGCATCAAAAGCCCCCTTTGGCTCACCTAATGAACATGTCCAATTAAAACTAAACACCTCATCCTAACACAGGGTCTCCCCTTTACCTTTATAAACCACCTTTTGCCTCTGGGCCACGTCTGTCTCCTCTCTGTCCAGAGGCAGTCCTATGTTCCCCTTGGGATAAATTCCCTCCCTCTCCCTGGTCCCCTCCCCTCTCCCTGTCCTCTGTCTCCTGTCTTTGTCTCTTGTTCCCCACCCTTTGTCCCTCTGGGGCAAATAAATCTCCTTCGCACTGAGAACTTGGTCTTGGGGTGTCCTGAGCCGATATTGGTCCCTTTTACTGCACACATGTGGCACATATACATATATACAGGCAAATATTCATATATATATTAAATTTAAAATTTTTAAAACATAAGTGGTTTAATGTTATTTGTTTTCTTACTCTTTGTCCATTTGGGGGCCTGCCACCCAGCTCCCAAATAAATCACATATGGAGGTTTATTCTTAATTATGAATGCCTGGCTTTAGCTTGGCTTGCTTCTTTCCAGCTTTTCTTAACTTTAAATTAACTTGTCTGCCTTTTGCCTCTCGGCTTTTACCTTTCTCTATTTTTGTAATTTACTTTCACTCTTACGCCATTGCTGGAGAAATACAAACTTCGTTTCATATAAAACAAGCCAGTTACTGAGTCCTACTGAGTGTTGGCCATCACCAGTTTGTTTTTAATAGAAAATGAGGATAGGTCACACACAACCTCAAACTCATTCATGTAGTTGAAGCTAACCTGGAACTTCTGATTCTCCTGCCTCTACCTCCCAAGTGCTGGGATTACAGATGTGTGCTGCTGCACTAGGTTTAGACCTCACACGTGCTGAGCACAAATCCACCAACTGAGCTATGTCTCCAGCCATACAGTCAAATTTTACATTTATTTTTTTCTGTGCTGGGAGTGCAACCCAGAGCATCACACTCAAGGCCATTCATGGCAAGCTGTTGTACAGGCCTATCCTCCAAGCCAAACAACTGCCATCTTCGAGGGGAGTTTAGCTGTGTCCGCTTGCAAAGATCATACCAGACGGACTTGTTGACTGTTTACATCTCTCCTAGAAAGGCGGGCTGGGTCATGAGACCCTCACTGAGTATCCTGCGGTTCATACCACCTGTTGTATGCGACACTGCTCTAACTGCATGGCTTCAAGTAGAGTCTAGAGCTATAGTTCTCAACTTTCCTAGTGCTGCAACCCTTTAATACAGGGCCTCATGCTGTGGTGACCCCAACCATACAATTATTTTTGTTGCTACTTCATAACTACTTTTGCTATTGCTATGAATCATAACGTAAATTATCTGATATGCAGATATCTGATCTGTGACCCCTATGAAGGGGTCATTCGAACCCCAAAGGGACCACAACCCACAGGTTGAGAACCTCTGGTATAGAGTGTATAAACCAAGGAAGACAGTGGAAGGTGGCGGGGAGTCCAGCAATGAGCTATGAGAAGGCTATCATCCCTGCTGGGTAAAGGCTTTCCAGTGTAGCCTTTTGTGAGGGGAGCACCCACATCCAATAAGTAACCCCTCATCTATGCTCTGTAAGTAAGTCCAATGAACTCACTGGTTCCCCAGAGACCTCGGTTTGTTGTTGGGATCTTAGGGAGAAGGGCAGATATGGCTTATGTCTTCCCCTGGATAAGAATTTTACCAACACAAGCACTCCTCCAATGATCTACACTCACAGCCAAATTTTATGTGTACTTTCAACATCCACTATTTATCTTCTTCATTCACAGAAGCAGCAGCTAGAACTGCACAAAGAAAAAAATGTGTACACAGGAGCAAACTACCCAGAATGCTATCATATTCTGAGGTAAACCAACAGGTCCTGAAATGTCTGTGAATTACAAAAGCCTAATGCTACTGACATCTAGTGGGCAGAGGACAGACCATGCTGCTAAACATGAAGGAAGACACAGGACTGTCTTGTGCAAAATGTCAACAGTGTCAGGTTGAGAAATTCTGGGCTAAACAAAGCAAGATCGTCCACAGCTTAAACTGAATGTGCAATTACATTGCTTTTTGACACTGACATTCTAATACATGAAAATGTACAGTAGTTCAACAGGGTAACTGTTGCACATAAGATGGATCTTCAAATAAAGAGTCCTTTAGGATTGCACAATTTATCCAACTCCAGGACGAACAGTATTCCTTCTACACAGGATAATACAAAGCCTCCAAGGCAGGGCTAATTAGATTAGATACTGGAAGAGAGAAAGGACTATCCAGTCTTATTAGCATTTAAAGAGCCTTTGGAGCCTTAAGTGAGGCAGAAATTCTGAAACAGATGTGAGACGACTTTTGACTTGTTACTAAAACCTGGCTGCAGGAGAGCCCAGGAGGGAATCGACTCCCATAGTAGTCAGATGCTTGAAGTTTCTCTGTCTCTGACACACACACACACACACACCACCCTGTTGTCACTGTTAAGATCGCAGGGTTTGACAGGCACTCCGGGAAGGAAGGCCTCACCTTCACGTCGTCTTTGAGCTCCGGCGCCAGGCTGAGCACCAGCAGGTAATGGGCATAGGCAGTGCCGAAGTCCTGGGCGCCCAGACAGTGCTCAGCGCTCTGCAAGGACCGCGCCACCAGCCGGTCCCGGCCGGCCGCCCCTGCGCCACCCCCGGCGCCGCGGCGGGGTCTGGGCCTCGAGTTCGGCATGGCTGAGTCTCCGCTCGGAAGCCCTCGAGGAAGACGCCCTCCTCCGGGAAAAGAGACTCTCGACGTCTCACTTCCCTGGGACCCAAGGCAGTCACAGGAGGCGCAGGAGGAAAGCGCGCTCAGCCCTACACAGGAGGGAGCTCCGCCTTCTCAGGCTCGGGCGGAGCTGCGCACGCAACGCGAGGCGGCGCGCAGTGATGACGCCACGCCGGCGCGCTCTCTGGGGGAAGCCCCACCCCCACCCCACCCCAGCGCCCTGGAGACCGTAAGCTGTGAGAGTCTTGGCCTTGCGGTCAGGTTGATGGGGCGGGCTGAAACTGAAGGGTTCGTCCTCTCTCCCACCTCCTAGAGTGTGCCGCTGCTGCCGCTGCTGCTGCGGCGGCGGCTGCTGCGCCAGACCCTGCTTGCCTAGGGCGTGTGCGATGCTCGGAGCTCAGGGCGCCAGTCTCAATATTGCAAAACGAAATAAAAGCACCTTAAAGTTGGTCACGGTGTGCCCTCTTAGCGTTTAGTATTCTCACAAAACCCCGTGAGACGACACTTTGGATTACACTCCATAAAGAAGAAAAAGGCAGTCTCTGAGAACTGCTTCAAGGTCGCCCAAGTTCGTGGGATGGATGTAGCCGAATCCGAGTTTCCTGATGACCTGTTTTATTCATATAGAAGACTTGGGTCACATGTGGCCTCTAAGATATTAACCCAAAAGCTTTAAACGATATATAGGAATTGATAGCATACGCTGTTTTTGTCCTCATTTTCAAGAGATTGGTAGTGTGTCAAGTGGCTGACAGGAAATGGAGGATAGAGCATTTTGGACAACAAACTAAAATTCTCCGGTTCTCCTAAAGTCAACCTTTGTGTGACTTTCTGCTTTCTCTTGTAACATTCTCTGCCCCACTCTTTTTTTTTTTTTTTTTTTTTTTTTTGGTTTTTCGAGACAGGGTTTCTCTGTGTAGCTTTGCGCCTTTCCTGTAACTCACTTGGTAGCCCCACTCTTTTAAGCACCTACCTATGTGCACCCTAAGAATGTAGGACTTAACTATAGAATATTTCTCTAAGAAGATGGAAACACAGAGGAAGGCCTCTACACCTAATAGGACTGAGTAAAACATAAAGACCGATAGACTTGGGGGAATGGTCTTGTTCCAGTCCATGCTTTTCTCCTTCTTATTCATCTAGTAACCCTCCTTAAGACATTCAGAAAGACCCAATAAAGCTCTCTTCCTGGCTTAAGTCATAAGGTTGCTCTAACTATACAATGAAATAATCTATAAAAGCATTTTACTTAGACATACATAGTTAATGTAATTCATTATCTAGAAACATTTAGAAATCATCTAAACTTTTAAAAAAGTTATTATACCTGTAATAACTGTAAACATCTAACCAAATATGTATGATGTCATTTGCATGGTATAAAAGTCAGAGGTGATAGGCTGTGGCTTAGTAGAGAGAGAGAGAGATATCTCATTCCTTCTTTCCAGAGACTTGCATTGGAGATACACTGGTTAGTGTTAATTTTCAACCTAACAGAATCTAGAATCACCTGGCAGACTCGCCTCTGGTCATATCTGTGGGTGATTACCTTGACTGCTTTAATTGAGGTAGGGAGACTTACCCACTGTGGGTAACACCATTGACTGGCTGAGAATCTGGACTGTGTAAGTAGAGACAGGAATCTGAGCCACAGTGTGCATTCACCACTCCCTGCTTCCTGAATGTGACAATGATATGACCAGCTACTGCGTGCTGCTGGTGCCCTGGCTTCCCTGCATTCTCTTTCTCTCTTAAATTCCTTTTGTCGGAGCCTTTTATCATCTGACAGCCAAAGTTACATTTTAATTACTGAAAGAATGATAAACGGCGGTGGTGGTGGCACTGGTTACCAATGGAAGTCACGAGCAATGGCCACGACTATTTAGTAGTAGAGCTTTATTAGGAAGAAGCCTGGGAAAGGAGTACGTGCAGAGAGAGGGAAAGATGGTGGGGGGAAGAGACAGAACAGAAAGAGAGAGGGTGGGGTCTGAGTCACGGCTCTTTAAGGCACAAGTGGGCCTACAGTGGGCCTACAGAGCTACACCACGCATGCGCTGACTCCGTGATCACTGCGTGACCACTCCGCAAGCACGTAGTCACCAGCGTACACTGATGATGTAAGACACAAGACCCTTTGCTTAACTCCTGAACTGTGCATGTGCAGTAACAATTACCATGCCTAAGAGATCCATGAAACAAAAATGCCTCTGATATGCAAGTCCCTAGCCAAGGACAGATAGTTCCTGAAAGGCTGGAGGCTATTATTTATGGGCGATAACAAGCCACATGTTTTCACTCCCCTAAACAAGTTTATCTGACCCATCTGCACTGGATATGCTTGATCACATGTAGGCGGGAGGCTCACAGGCTGGAGGTATGTCAGGATGTGTGCTTGCCCCTGAGTGGACTTGATGGGAAGTGCAAAGAATTATGGATTCTCCTTCTTAAACCATTACAAACTGTGATTCTGGGTCATTTCCTGGGACAGGGGGTATGAACCTGGCCACTTGACCAGTATTTAATTAAAGCTTGCTTCAAATTTGGCTTTAAACTGTGGTAGTAGGCTTATTCTCAATCCGTGGGATTAACAATCACAGCAACAGGAAAAGAAACTGAGACAAAGACTGGTGTTTGTTTGACACTTAGTCCCTGGCTGGTGGCGCTCTCCGGGAAGATGGGTCACTGAAGTCCACCCTTAGGGTTTAATAGGCTAGCCCACCTCTCCCTTCTTGACAAGAGATCAGCTGCCTCTGGTTCTTGCCACCAGGCCTTCCTGGCTATGGAGGGTTGTGTTCCCTAAAACTGTGAGCAGAAATAAAACCTTCTTCCCATAAGATACTTGTCAGGTATCTCCATAGCAACAAGAAAAGTAACTAATACAGAAAAGATCATTCGGATCACCACATGAGTTTCTGCTTCACCTGAATTATTTCATTTTGTAAGTTATCTTCTACTATGGGCATGATTTCCCCTTCCACAGGGTAAGTTCTCTTTTGGTCTTTTTTTTTTTTTAATCTGCTCGGTGCCTTGGCCTGACCCAAGTACCTAAAACAACTAGACTACATTGTTCTAGAATATTAGTTGAAGATGTGCTACATATGTTTATGTTGTGGAATATTTGTTTAATTATGCAAAGATGTGTTGCATTCTTTTATGCTGCATTGTCTAATTCCATGAAACTGTGTTACTTTGACTGTCTAAAACACCTGATTGGTCTATTAAAGTGTTGAATGGCCAATAGCTAGGCAGGAGAAAGGATAGGTGGGGCTGCCAGGCAGAGAGAATAAATAGGAGGAGAAATCTGGGAAGTGAAAAGATCAAGGAACGAGAAAAAGAAGGGGCCGGTCACACAGCCACACAGCCAGACATGGAATCAGAAGGAAAGAAAAGATATATAGAAACAGAAAGGTAAAGTCCAGAGACAAAGGGTACATGGATTAATTTAAGAAAAGCTGCCTAGAAATAAGCCAAGCTAAGGCCTGGCATTCATAAGAAAGAATAATCCCCCCATGTATTTATTTGGGAGCTAGGTGGTGGGCACCCCCCAAAGAGAAAAAAAGAGTAAAAACAGCCAACAACAGTACATGAATGAAACTGAGAAGGGACATGATTCCTTGACAGTAACAGGAGGGAAAGGACAGACCATAGAGATCTAAAATTTCTGCGGGAAATGAATGGTCCAGTGCCTGTTCTCTACTGTAGAATTCCTAATATGCCCAGCAAAGTGTGCCAGTTACATCTTCATCAAGTCAGTGTTGGTAAGAGTTGGAGGGTGGGGCTGGAGCTATGGTTCAGTGGTTTAGAGAATGTACTGCTCTTCCAACAGACAAGTTCAGTTTCCAGCATCCACGTCAGATGGTTTTACAGACTCCTGTAACTCTGGTTCTGGGGGATCTGGCTCCGCCTCCAAGAACATAATTCATAATACATATAATTAAAAATAATAAAAAAAAAAAACTTCTGGGCTAGAGATGGCTCAGTGGTTAAGAGCACTGGCTGCGCTTCCTGAGAACCTGAGTTTGATTCCTAGCAACCACATGGTGGCTGACAACTATTTATTGCAGGATCTGATGGCCTCTGCTGTCATGCAGGCATACATGCAAATAAAGCACTCATATACATAAAATACACAAATAAATAAATCTAAAAAAATGAAAAAATCTTTTAAAGGAGAGAGATGGAGAAGACACTAGGCAAGAAGTGTAGAAAGAACAAGGAAATAATTAAAGAAGCTGGGTGTGGTTATTTTTCTCATCACCTCTAAGATTAACCTATGGACGGTGACTACTGCAGCATGAATCTTTTTTTTTTTTTTTACTTAAACTGCTCGGCCATTAGCTCAGGCCTACCATTGTCTAGCTCTTACTCTTTTTTTTTTTTTTTGAATTTTTTTTTCAGTACCAAATGCTGTTTATTGAAGGAGGGAGGAGGTCTTAAATACAAGCTTACAGCACAATGGGAGAACCCTGGAAGGCAGAAGTTCGCTACAGATGTTTTACAATCTTGTAGCATGAATCTTAACAGGTCTTATTAATAAAATCAAACCTGGTGCCAGTTATTGTGGTGAATGCTGGAAGATCAGAGAGACAGAACAAGTCACAGCTACCTCACCTCGCCAGTTCCTCAGCTGATCCTGTTTCCTCAGACTGGAAGACTCTGAGTCCTCATCCAGAATGAGTCTCAGCTGAACTGCTGCTCCAAAGCCTGAAAGCTTAACCAGCTAAAAAGCTTCTAGTTTCTGGTCCTCACGCCTTATATACCTTTCTGCTTTCTACCATCACTCCCTGGGATTAAAGGCTCGATGTCTGGGATTAAAGGCATGAGTCACCATGCTTGGCTATATCCTTGAACACATGGATTTCTGCCTCTGGAATGCTAGGATTAAAGGCGTGTGCTACCACTGCCTATCCTCTATGTTTAAAATTGTGGCTGTTCTGTCTCTGACCCCAGATAAGTTTATTAGGGTGCACAATATTTCGGGGAACACAATACCACCATAGACTACTGTAAAAAGGAGAATGATAGTCTTCCTGCCTCTTCTAAAATACCTCAGATAACCATGAGCTACCAGATCTCACTAAAACAAGATGTAAGTAAATTAGGTTTAGTACAGATCATTTGTGCTTCTTTATGTAATATAGTTTACAGACACTTTAGGAGGTCTTTTGCAAAAATACAACTG